GTGATGCCGATCATGGTGATGATGATGATAGTGATCATGACATCAACAGTGATGTCGATCATCGGGATGATGATGATGGTAGTGATGATCATGGTAGTGATGATGACATCAACAGTGATGCCTATCATGGTGATGATGATGATGATAGTGATGATGACAGCAAGAACGATGCCGATCACACGGTAGCGACGGCCGCGATGGCGATGATGACGATCATGCCGGTCATGAGGATGATGCCGGTGGCGGTGAGGGAGGTGATGATGGCGACAGCAGCTTTGGCGGCGATGGCGATGATGCGGCGACGGTGGTCACGGCGACGATGGTCATGGCGACGGTGGTCACGGCAACGGTGGTCACGGCGATGGTGGTCACGGCGACGGTGGTCATGGCGACGGTGGTCACGGCGACGAGGGGTCCTCACCATCCTGGTTATCGCGGTTGATGGCGTCGATGAAAAACTGGATGGGGTCGTCGGGCTTGTGTATGAGCACCTGCTCCAGTAGATTCTGGGAGGGAATCGCATCAGAATTCAGAATCTTTATTTATCCTGGAGAAATCCGATAAGATAAGAAGCTCCCCCCAACCAACAGATGTCCAGTAGAGGCGGCTAAGAAGGTTACAGCATTAAAATCACTAAACAAATGGATATAAATAAATAAACAATATATAAGAGCAAATTGCATAAAGGACATCAATTCCCACCCCACATTTTCCTAATGACGACCGCTTGTGTTGCGATCGAAACGTCGTAGTTTTTTTAGTTATTTTATTTGAACCTATCCACGTCACTTCACCGAAAGACCCAAACGATTTCGATTTGAAGCTTTCGTGACTGCAGGGATTCATCTTCTTGGTTCTTTCGGTAAAGTCACGTAGAAGGGAAGTAATAAAATAATAAAAATAAAACATAATAAAATAATTCTCACGACGTTTCGGCCACAACGCAAGCAGCCGTCCTCCGGTGAAGAACAGGTCTGTCGGAAAGACAGTGTCTGAATGACCATTCGCTGTCTCCCCGACAGACCTGGTCTTCACCGGAGGACGGCTGCTTGCGTTGTGGCCGAAACGTCGTGAGAATTATTTTATTTTTATTCTTTTATTATTTCCCTTCTACGTGACTTTACCGAAAGAACCAAGAAGATGACCCAAACGATATCAATTCCCCCAAACATTTGGGCGGGCAGCAAACGCAACTGCAACAAATAATCGCGGGGTCACACCAACACGACAACGCAGAGACCCTCAATAAAATTTTTATTTTATAATTTAATTTTTATTATTTTATTATTTCCCTTCTACGTGACTTTACCGAAAGAACCAAGAAGATGAATCCCTGCAGTCACGAAAGCTTTAAATCGAAATTTAAAGCGCACGAACGTTTGAACTCTCGCGCCTCCTATCGTCACACGGGCCACGCAGCACACGCGGGTGTCTGTTGCCCCTCGTTGTTGTTGTAGTTGTTGTTGTAGTTGTTGTTGTAGTTGTTGTTGTAGTTGTGGAGGTCGTGGCTCAAGTTCAAGTTCATGCATTAGGTATAGCCCTGTGAGCCATTCGGCTCTTGAATCGGGTGCAACCGCAACAAACAAAAAACATGAACAAAAAATATCTTAAAGTGACTACGTGACTGAGTGCAAACAGAAAATCCAAGAAAAGACAGCAAAATATTGCAGAAAAAACACCGTGTACACCAACGCAGTGTGCAAAAATCCCAGTGGGATGCAAGTCAAACACCAACAACAACCACAAGACAACTTAGATTAAGGCCATCAGTCTAACTCTGTACTACAACAACACAAACATGGCTAAACCAATACACATTTCAAAATAACCAAAATAAAGCCAAGAAAGTCAAACAACAACAACAACAACCACAAGACAACTTAAATTAAGGCCATCAGTCTTAACTCCGTACTACAACAAAACAAACATGGCTAAACCAGTAAACTTTTCGAAATCACCAAAATAAAGCCATAAAAGTCAAACAACAACAACAACAAGAACCACAAGACAACTTAGATTAAGGCCATCAGTCTTAACTCCGTACTACAACAACACAAACATGGCTAAACCAATACACTTTTCGAAATAACCCAAATAAAGCCAAGAAAGTCAAACAACAACAACAACCACAAGACAACTTAGATTAAGGCCATCAGTCTAACTCCGTACTACAACAACACAAACATGGCTAAACCAGTAAACTTTTCGAAATCACCAAAATAAAGCCATAAAAGTCAAACAACAACAACAACAACCACAAGACAACTTAGATTAAGGCCATCAGTCTTAACTCCGTACTACAACAAAACAAACATGGCTAAACCAGTAAACTTTTCGAAATCACCAAAATAAAGCCATAAAAGTCAAACAACAACAACAACCACAACCACAAGACAACTTAGATTAAGGCCATCAGTCTAACTCTGTACTACAACAACACAAACATGGCCAAACCAATACACTTTTCGAAATCACCAAAATAAAGCCATGAAAGTCAAACAACAACAACAACAACCACAAGACAACTTAGATTAAGGCCATCAGTCTAACTCTGTACTACAACAACACAAACATGGCTAAACCAATACACATTTCGAAATAACCAAAATAAAGCCAAGAAAGTCAAACAACAACAACAACCACAAGACAACTTAGATTAAGGCCATCAGTCTAACTCTGTACTACAACAACACAAACATGGCTAAACCAGTAAACTTTTCGAAATCACCAAAATAAAGCCATAAAAGTCAAACAACAACAACAACAACCACAAGACAACTTAGATTAAGGCCATCAGTCTTAACTCCGTACTACAACAAAACAAACATGGCTAAACCAGTAACTTTTCGAAATCACCAAAATAAAGCCATAAAAGTCAAACAACAACAACAACCACAAGACAACTTAGATTAAGGCCATCAGTCTAACTCTGTACTACAACAAAACAAACATGGCTAAACCAATACACTTTTCGAAATCACCAAAATAAAGCCATGAAAGTCAAACAACAACAACAACAACCACAAGACAACTTAGATTAAGGCCATCAGTCTAACTCTGTACTACAACAACACAAACATGGCTAAACCAATACACATTTCGAAATAACCAAAATAAAGCCAAGAAAGTCAAACAACAACAACAACCACAAGACAACTTAGATTAAGGCCATCAGTCTAACTCTGTACTACAACAACACAAACATGGCCAAACCAATACACTTTTCGAAACCACCAAAATAAAGCCATGAAAGTCAAACAACAACCACAAGACAACTTAGATTAAGGCCATCAGTCTAACTCTGTACTACAACAAAACAAACACGGCCAAACCAATACACTTTTCGAAATCACCAAAATAAAGCCATGAAAGTCAAACAACAACAACAACAACCACAAGACAACTTAGATTAAGGCCATCAGTCTAACTCTGTACTACAACAACACAAACATGGCTAAACCAATACACTTTTCGAAATCACCAAAATAAAGCCACGAAAGCAATGAAAAAGCGATCATAAAAACTGTGACGGAATTTTCACAATAAACGGCATAAACAACATGTACTACCAAAACCTTGCATGAGCCACTCCACAACAACAATGGGAGTATTATACATTTTTCAATGCACCTTTAAGATCAGCACACTAAATCAAAACACAGGTTACACTTTGTATCGATCATCTCCACTCGCCTTGCAGATGTCGAAGAGGCCATGCGCCTCGGCGTAGACTTCCAGATCAGGCGGCACACACAGCGGCCTCTGAGTAGCGTCCATTGCTGATGGCGGCGTCTCGCGTCTCCATGGCGACCACCGGCAGGGGGGGCGGGGCTTCTCGCGTATCCATGGCGACCACCGGCGGGGTGGGGCGGGGCGACTCGCGTCTCCCTGGCGACCACCGGCAGGGCGGGGCGGGGCTTCTCGCGTATCCGTGGAGACCACCGGCGGGGCGGGGCGGGGCTTCTCGCGTATCCATGGAGACCACGGGCAGGGCGGGGCGGGGCTTCTCGCGTATCCATGGAGACCACGGGTAGGGCGGGGCGGGGCGGGGCTTCTCGCGTATCCGTGGAGACCACCGGCGGGGCGGGGCAGGGCGGGGAGCCGGACGTGACGTTTGTGGCAGCCATCTTGGTGAGGGAGACGGTACGTTTTGTACTACGAGGTTCAAAGCAGCCCATCTTTGTCAGGGAAAATGTGTAAATATAAGGGGGGGGGGATGTGACGTCACATCAAAATGCGCAACTTTAAATAAATATACAACACGTTCTACTTAATTAAATAGACTTTTAAATAAATGTTTCTCCTACAACATCAGAGTGCAGCGCCACATTGTATACGCACTACAATGACAATAGTTTAAAGCGATTTGAAGCATGTTTTTTTTGGGGGGGGGCAAAGCTTTGTGACGTCATATTTGAGGTGGGGGGGGTCTGACTTTTTGTGACGCCGTGTGACGAAGGGGGGGGGGGGTCAAAAATCGTCCAAAATCGTGTGACGTCATTTATGGACGGCCCCTAACTACAGGGATATTATTTTTTATACATTAAAATATACATACATATTATTTTTTATATATAAAAAAATAACTATTATTTTCTTATACGTAAAAAAATAATTTATTTTAGCTGAAACACTGCAACAAAATTTGTATCGACAGTCATTTTGATGGTGTCACCGTAGCGCTGCGGAAATGATCTCCAATTGAACGGCGAGCTCGGGGTGATGATGATGATGCTGCTGCTGCACAGAGAGAGACGAGACAGGGAGAAAGAAAGAAGAGAGATCTTTCATCTAAAACAGCAAAGCATTGAAGACAAAAAACTTTAAGAAACGAAATGATGAACAAAGCAAAGTGGCGACGACACTGAGCATCTTCTTGTTTCGATTTAAAGCTTCTTTCGTGACTGCAGGGATTCATCTTCTTGGCTCTTTCGGTAAAGTCACGTAGAATGGAAATAATAAAATATTCAGACCTCTGTCTTCTCGACAGACCTGTTCTCCACCTGCGGACGGCCGCTTGCGTTGTGGCTGAAACGTCGTGAGAATTATTAAATGTTTTATTTTTATTATTTTATTATTTCCCTTCTACGTGACTTTACCGAAAGAACCAATAAGACATCTTCTTGTTATTTCCTCCGATCGTAAAAAAATTTTTTTTAAAGACATGGCGGAGAGCATCGCTCTGGCATTGCTGTTGGGCGAGTTCGTATCGGACGGCAGCGACGTCGATTTGATGGGCGCCTCTGTCGAGCTGGCGTCCGTCTCGAACGTGGCTCTGACAATAGCGGCGGTGGTGGTGGTGGCAGACCGAGAGGCTCACGATGATGATGATGGGAGCCACCCTGGCCGAGCGCACACGTCGTACTCGGGAGCCACCTTCAGAGATTTCTACCGGGTGGAGCGTTCGACGTTCCAGGTCCGGACCCTCTACGCGGTGGTCACGGGCAGATCGTTGTGGTGCTTCGATGGCCGCGCGGAGGGGGGGTGCGATTGTTGTTAGTTTTTTTGTTGGTGATATGTCCGGCAGAGGGGTGGTCAACACATGACAACAATCAACAATGTAAAGAAAAGTTATGCATTTTTTTGTTTAATGAAAAATCTTATCTTTACGTTGTTTTTTTGTGTTTTTTGTTGACATGTTCTGCATGGGGATGGTCAACAAATGACAACAATTAATACAAAGAAAAGTTATGCATTTTTTTGTTTAATGAAAAATCTTTTCTGTACGTTGTTTTTTTTGTTCGTTGTTAGTTTTTTTGTTGACAGATGTCCTGCATGGGGATGATCAACAAATGAAAACAATCAACAATACAAAGAAAAGTTATGCATTTTTTTTGTTTAAAGAAAAATATTTTCTTTACGTTTTTTTGTGTTGGTTGTTAGTTTTTTTGTTGACATGTTCTGCATGGGGATGATCAACAAATGACAATATAAAGAAAAGTTATGCATTTTTTTGTTTAAAGAAAAATCTTTTCTTTATGTAGTTTTTTGTGTTTGTTGTTACTTTTTGTTGACATGTCCAGCATGGGGATGATCAACAAATGACAACAACCAACAATACAAAGAAAAGTTATGTGTTTTTTTAAAAGAAAAATCTTTTCTGTACGTTGTTTTTTTGTGTTCGTTGTTAGTTTAATGTTGACATGTCCTGCATGGGGATGATCAACAAATGACAACAACCAACAATACAAAGAAAAGTTATGCATTTTTTTGTTTAATGAAAATTCGTTTTTAAGTCTGCTCAGCTGCACGCGGATGGCTTCGACGGACGAACATTTTACGAATATTAAGTATCGAGATTTGTTTTCACAATTTTTAAGGGCCCACCCCACCCCCGCTTCCTCTTTGTTGTGTGTACATTGTGTGGAACTTCTTTCGCACCGTACGTTTCCAACCGTGCTCATCGGAGGTGCAGTGTGTAGTCTGAGTTGTGTTAGTCTATGGGCAGTATTGAGTCTATGGGCAGTGTTGAGTCTATGGGCAGTGTTGAGTCTATGGGCAGTGTTGGGTCTATGGTGCAGTGTTGAGTCTATGGGCAGTGTTGAGTCTATGGGCAGTGTTGAGTCTATGGGCAGTGTTGGGTCTATGGTGCAGTGTTGAGTCTATGGGCAGTGTTGAGTCTATGGTGCAGTGTTGAGTCTATGGGTAGTGTTGAGTCTATGGTGCAGTGTTGGGTCTATGGTGCAGTGTTGAGTCTATGGGCAGTGTTGAGTCTATGGTGCAGTGTTGAGTCTATGGGTAGTGTTGAGTCTATGGGCAGTGTTGAGTCTATGGTGCAGTGTTGGGTCTATGGTGCAGTGTTGAGTCTATGGGTAGTGTTGAGTCTATGGTGCAGTGTTGAGTCTATGGGTAGTGTTGAGTCTATGGGTAGTGTTGAGTCTATGGGCAGTGTTGAGTCTATGGGCAGTGTTGAGTCTATGGGCAGTGTTGAGTCTATGGGCAGTGTTGAGTCTATGGGCAGTGTTGAGTCTATGGGCAGTGTGGAGTCTATGGGCAGTGTTGAGTCTATGGGTAGTGTTGAGTCTATGGGCAGTGTTGAGTCTATGGGTGGTGTTGAGTCTATGGGTGGTGTTGAGTCTATGGGTAGTGTTGAGTCTATGGGTAGTGTTGAGTCTATGGGCAGTGTTAGTATATGGGCAGTGTTGAGTCTATGGGTAGTGTTGAGTCTATGGGCAGTGTTGAGTATATGGGCAGTGTTGAGTCTATGGGCAGTGTTAGTCTATGTGTAGTGTTGAGTCTATGGGCAGTGTTGAGTCTATGGGCAGTGCTGAGTCTATGGGCAGTGCTGAGTCTATGGGCAGTGCTGAGTCTATGGGCAGTGTTGAGTCTATGGGCAGTGTTGAGTCTATGGGCAGTGTTGAGTCTATGGTGCAGTGTTGAGTCTATGGGCAGTGTTGAGTCTATGGGTAGTGTTGAGTTTATGGGCAGTGTTGAGTCTATGGGCAGTGTTGAGTCTATGGGCAGTGTTGAGTCTATGGGCAGTGTTGAGTCTATGGGCAGTGTTGAGTCTATGGGCAGTGTTGAGTCTATGGGCAGTGTTGAGTCTATGGGCAGTGTTGAGTCTATGGGCAGTGTTGAGTCTATGGGCAGTGTTGAGTCTATGGGCAGTGTTGAGTCTATGGGCAGTGTTGAGTCTATGGGCAGTGTTGAGTCTATGGGTAGTGTTGAGTCTATGGGTAGTGTTGAGTCTATGGGCAGTGTTGAGTCTATGGGCAGTGTTGAGTCTATGGGCAGTGTTGAGTCTATGGGTAGTGTTGAGTCTATGGGCAGTGTTGAGTCTATGGGCAGTGTTGAGTCTATGGGCAGTGTTGAGTCTATGGGCAGTGTTGAGTCTATGGGCAGTGTTGAGTCTATGGGCAGTGTTGAGTCTATGGGCAGTGTTGAGTCTATGGGCAGTGTTGAGTCTAAGGTGCAGTGTTGAGTCTATGGGCAGTGTTGAGTCTATGGGTAGTGTTGAGTTTATGGGCAGTGTTGAGTCTATAGGCAGTGTTGAGTCTATGGTGCAGTGTTGAGTCTATGGGCAGTGTTGAGTTTATGGGCAGTGTTGAGTCTATGGGTAGTGTTGAGTATATGGGCAGTGTTGAGTCTATGGGTAGTGTTGAGTCTATGGGTAGTGTTGAGTCTATGGTGCAGTGTTGAGTCTATGGGCAGTGTTGAGTCTATGGGCAGTGTTTAGTCTATGGGCAGTGTTGAGTCTATGGGTAGTGTTGAGTCTATGGGTAGTGCTGAGTCTATGAGCAGTGTTGAGTCTATGGGCAGTGTTGAGTCTATGGGCAGTGTTGAGTCTATGGGCAGTGTTGAGTCTATGGGCAGTGTTTAGTCTATGGGCAGTGTTGAGTTTATGGGTAGTGTTGAGTCTATGGGTAGTGCTGAGTCTATGGGCAGTGTTGAGTCTATGGACAGTGTTGAGTCTATGGGTAGTGTTGAGTCTATGTGCAGCGTTGAGTCTATGGGCAGTGTTGAGTCTATGGGCAGTGCTGAGTCTATGGGCAGTGTTGAGTGTATGGGTAGTGTTAGTCTATGTGCAGTGTTGAGTCTATGGGCAGTATTTAGTTTATGGGCAGTGTTGAGTCTATGGGGAGTGTTGAGTCTATGTGCAGTGTTGAGTCTATGGGCAGTGTTGAGTCTATGTGCAGTGTTGAGTCTATGGGCAGTGTTAGTCTATGTGCAGTGTAGTCTATGGGCAGTGTTAGTCTATGTGCAGTGTAGTCTATGGGCAGTGTTAGTCTATGGGCAGTATGTACGTATGCTAATCGTTGGTGCGAGGCGATGCTTGTATCTGCACCTATGCAACTACATGGTTAGGGTTGAACAGCCTGGGTTAATATTAAGAATACTGTATAGCAATGCGACTGAAAATTAAAGAGTTGGCCGTGAGCGGGAATCAAACTCGGGTCGCCGGGTTCGTAACACAGCGCATGAACCGCTATACTACCACATACGTACAAAACAAACACAGATCCCCTTCACAAACTATTGGGGCAAGTGCTGTTAGCGAGTAGCACCTATGAAGGCCGGAACGGCACACGAGGGGTGTCGGTGGCGAGCACCACGCCCGACCGCCTTTGTCTCCTTCGTGGCGATGTTTACACACCGCACCAGGTACTCATTTGAGGCTGAGTCGACCTAGGGGAGGCCAAGGACCGGTTCAGATAATCGTCACTGGTATTGGCCGTGAGCGGTAAATCGAACTCGGGTCGCCGGGTTCGCAGCGCGCTAACCGCTGCGCCACCGCTCCCCACTGCACAAACACACCCACCCGTACCTTGAATACACCTTTGAAATGATCTTGTGTTTTGTAAAGATTTTCCACTCGTATCGCCGTTACGATAACCCAAGGCCGTAGCCATGGAGTCAACATTGGGGGGGACCAAATCTCCCTGGGCCCCCCCCCCCCCCAGAAAAAAAAATCTAAATGAAAAAACTAATTTCCTGCCGAAAATATGAAAAAAATTCACTAACACATAGGATGGACTTTTAATTTACTTTTTTACAATAATGTCTAATAGTGTATTGTATTACATTGCTCTGTTTTATTTTTTACCTTTTATTTTTTCATTGTATGTAAATGGCAGAGATTAGGAATTAATAAAGTACAACCATAACCACAATCAAATTAACAGAAATCTATTTGATAGCAATATACTGGGTGTGACATTTTGAGCATATTTGAAAATTGGGGGGGGGATGTGCCCCACCCCCAATTTCTATAATAATTACGGCCTTGCGATAACCCCATTTGTACTCTTGTCTTCATCGCAGACTCTGTGCGAGCGTTTGGCGCCACAATTCGCCAACAGAAGCGTGGGCATGGAAAAGAAAATCCTGTGCTCCCTTTGGTTGTTGGGCAACCAGGAGTCGTTTCAAGACGTTGCCAAGCGCTTCGGGATGGGAAAAGGAACGTTGCACTACGTGTTCCGCAGCGTAGCGCAGGCTCTCTCCAAGTGCCAAGCGGAGGCCATTCAGTGGCCTTCCGTCGACCAGTTGGCCAACGTCGCCAAAGGATTTCGAGACAAAAGCGGATTTCCCGGCGTCGTCGGAGCTCTGGGCGGAACGCACGTCCCCATTCGCGGACCGCCGTCGTGCAGGAACGCGTACGTCAACAGGAGCGGCTTCCCCAGCATTCACCTGCAAGCGGTTTGCGACAGCAGCCTCAGGTTCCTGGACGTAGACACGGGGCGGCCGGGATCCACGGAGGGTGCCGAGGCCTTGAGGAAGAGCTCGCTGTGGAGTCGCCTCGAGGGCCTACGCACGATGGACTACCATCTGCTGGCGGACTCGGCATACCCACTGGAAACTTTCCTGTTATCGCCGTACACAGACGACGGACATCTCAGCGAGCTTCAGAGGAACTACAACGAGGTCCACGGCTCAGCGAGGGCGGATATCGAGAGAGCTTTTGGGCTACTCAGGCGCAAGTGGAGGAGGCTCAAGTACCTCGACATGACGGCGGTCGCTCACATCCCAGCCGTTATCAGTGCCGCGTGCGTGCTTCACAATTTCTTGATCGACATCGAGAGGTTGAGCGGGGATGAGACGGACCCGGAGACAGAGCCGGAGACGCACAACGACGATGGAAATCCAGGATGCGCTAACCAGGACGTTGACCCGACCGCTGCGAGTAAAAGAGATGGGATTGCTCGTACGTTGGCCACGACTCCATTCAGAACTTCGAGAACCAGCCCTGAGTAAACGCTTGCAAGTGTTGTAAATGATGCACTTGGCGGAATTCATTGAAAAGCAGTCGGCGATCGATGAGCCAGCACTCACCGATTCGTGTGTACGTGTGTACGTGTGTATGTGTGTATGTTGAAACCCTTTTGCACCACGTAGCCAACCGTGCTAATCGGAGGTGCAGGGGAAGGACAACAAACTAAACACAAAAAGCAATCTTTGACGATTCACTCCAATCCCTCGCTCGTCGGCGGTCAGTCGCCTCCACGTTTCCCTTCCCTTCTATCGCTACGACGCACGTCGCAGCGAGGTCGTCACTCGGGCGAGTCAGCGCGGGACAAGAAGTAAACGATAAACTAAACCATACTCTTTGGTTCTTTCGGTAAAGTCACGTAGGTAGAAAATTAATAGATCACGACGTTTCGATCGCAACGCAAGCAACCGTCATCGGTTGAGACAAACAGCAGCAGAACTTCTGACGTAGGAGAAAGAGCTGCTGCAACAAGAGGTTATATATGATTTGGTGGGCCCAACCCAAGGGTAAGTGGGCGGAGCTAGAGAAGGAATCTGTACGTAAATGTAAGAGAACACGTTCCTTCGGAGTGGGCAGGTAGGAACTTGGTTGGACAGCGCATTCGTGCACGACAGACAAATATGCACGAAAGACAGACAAATAATCCCTGGTGAGCAGTGTGGAACCTGTTGTTCCTACCTGTAGAAAAGATCACTTGACTTGAGGTAGCCAGGCACCCAGCCAGGTAGCCAGCCCCCTTAACTATCGGCCCCTCCCCCTTGCTTAGGCCCCTCCCCTTACCCCCCCCTCCTCTGACCCCCCCCCCCCCTCAGGCCCCTCTGCTGACTCCCCCTTCCTTAGGCCCCTCCCCTGACCCTCCTCCCTTAGGCCCCTCCCCTCTCCGTATCCGGCAGTAAGTCTCCACCAATCAAAGAGCTGTTTGTATTATATATTTATTTATGCATGACAGACAAAAAATCCCTGGTGGGCAGTGTGGAACATATTGTTCCTTCCTGTAACACTTAACCTAGGATTGGGCCCATCAAAACCATATATAACTTGTTGCAGCAGTTCTCCTGCTGTTTGTTTCACCCGATGACGGTTGCTTGCGTTGCGATCGAAACGTCGTGATCTATTAATTTTCTCTACCTACGTGACTTTACCGAAAGCTTCAAATCAAGATTATAAACTAAACTATTTGTATTTTACGAGGTAAGGCCCCACCGAGTTATATCGCTCTTTTTGAGCAGCGACCTGGCCACGAATGACAGAGCAACGAAGCGTCTTATCACGTGGAAATGTCTAGCAGCCAAATACTCTTAAAGCACACATTCATTCTAAATTTGAAGGGGAAAAACCAGAGGACCCAAAGAAAAAAAATCCACGGGGAGAGAGACACGCAAACTCCAAATATACAGCAGGCATTGTCGAGGGTCGGGATCGAATGCACTAACTCCTGTATACCTGGCGAGGTAGCTAACATCTCGTCACCATGGCGGTCGGGGTCCTGACGGTATCGGGAGGCTTTCATACGGCGTTATATTGACAAGGAACCATAGCAAGCAGTCCTTCACGTACACAGAGCGGAGAAGCCACGGACATGAACCCGAGGAGATATGAAGCCGATTTAAAGCTTTCATGACTGCAGGGATTCATCTTCTTGGTTATTTCGGTAAAGTCATCACGTAGAAGGGAATTAATAAAATAATAAAAATGAAACATACTAAAATAAAAAAATGTAAATAAAATATAAATCTTTTCGATTTAAAGCTTTCATGACTGCAGGGATTCATCTTCTTGGTTATTTCGGTAAAGTCGCGTAGAAGGGACATAATAAAATACAATTCTCACGACGTTTCGGCCACAATGCAAGCAGCCGTCTGCAGGTGAAGAACAGAACAAGACGTTGTCTTTCCGACAGCCCTGTTCTTCACCTGAGGACGGCTGCTTGCGTTGTGGCCGAAACGTCGTGAGAATTGTATTTTATTATGTTTTATTATTTTATTATTTCCCTTCTACGTGACTTTACCGAAAGAACCAAGAAGAGGTATGAAGCCGTGTAGAACACCCGAGCACATTGAGAACTCTTTACCTTTCACGGTTTTAAAACAACAGTTCGCGCACCTGAATATCCGCACGCTGATCCTTTCATAGATACCCCAACTGATGGTCGAACGCCAAATCGGACTGACTGTTGTCGTATGGATGTTGAACTTCTTTTACGCAGTACGTGGCCAACCATACTAATCGGAGGAAGGATAAAATGAATGTAGGACAAGTTAAAAGACTTGGTTGGAAGCATATGCAGAGTTTTAAATAAAATGCAGTTTGCTCTATAAAGTCTCGTTATTTCAGCGGTGTACCTATAAATGGATCGCCGTGTATGAAATTGCGATAATGCCCAAGAGTGAAATCCATGCAATGCGAGCGGTTACAACAACACTTCTTTATTTACCAATTGAAACACATTTGTTCATACGCAGTAACTCCGTCAAATACCAAACACTTCATACAAGGCCAGAGGTCGCAACCGGGTAGCCGATACCCGTACCCTACCCGATACCCGTACCCTACCCGATACTCGTACCCGGCCAGGTACGGGTACGGGTACCCGTTTGCGACCCTGGTGCAGCCGGGTACGGGTACGGGTAGGCCGTGAGTCACTGGTGAGTAACCGTTTGTCACTCATTTCGGGTAGGGTACGGGTAGGGAACGGGTACCCGTACCCGGCCGGGTACGGGTACCCATTTGCGACCCTGGTGCGGCCGGGTACGGGTACGGGTAAGGAATCAAAACCCGTTTGCGACCTCTGTACAAGGCTCTCTTGCACAGCACAGCGGCGTAGCTCTCCTGAGTGTGCAGGCACTGCAGCTGCACCAAGGGCCATAGTGGACTCGTCATTGCATTCCTTGCACCAGGGCCCATGCCAACCACTCTTAACACCTCTCCTATTTAAAATAACTCAAGTCATTCATTCACCGAGGTCATATGTACGTTGAACTTCTTTCGCACCGTACGTAGCCAACCGTGATCATTGGGAGGCGCGGGGGAAGGACAACCAACTAAAAGACAAAAAGCAGTTTCTAGACGACGATTTGAAAGTGCGTGGCTCCGGTGGCTTCCTGTCGGAAGGAAGCGCATCTGAAAGCGCCGCGCACAATGCAGTTGACCCGTCTTTGTTCGATGGCTCAGTCAAAAGCCGCTTGCGAGGATGACCGGAATCTGCGCCGTGATTAACGCTTCTTGAGATCGGCAAGGAATTGTGGTTCGTTTGCGGCAAGCACTTTGTGTGAATGAGTGCAACCTTATGATGACGTATTGGTTCGGCAAGCCAGAAGCCAATGCAGCTCAGCGAGCACTGGACGGACCACGGTCGGATCTTGCAGTACCCGTCACGACACGTGACGCAGCAGCTTGGTAACTTGGTAATGTTTTTGATCGTGTATAACTCTTCATTCTCACTGTGCACTTATTAAATCGCAGTCCTTATCCTTAGAAAACTGGTGCCCAAGAAAACTGAAGGTAGTACACTCCTCTGCCGACAACCACCTCTTTCTTCTTGGTTCTTTCGGTAAAGTCACGTAAAAGGGAAGTAATAAAATAATACAAATAAAACATAATAAAATACAATTATTACGACGTTTCGGCCACAACACAAGCAGCCGTCCTCAGGTGAAGCCAGCGCTCTTTCAGACAGCTGTGTCTGCTTGTGTTGCGGCCGTAACGTCGTGAGAATTATTTTATTGTTTTATTTTTATAATTTTATTATTTCCCTTCTACGTGACTTTACCGAAAGAACCAAGAAGATGAATCCCTGCAGTCACGAAAGCTTTAAATCGAAATTTAACCACCTGTTTGCTGTCTCTTGTTATCGGTCGTGTAACACGGCGTGTGTCACATGACACAGCGGACTGCTGCTCATTTGTGTTGTGTACGTACACTGAACTTCTTTCGCACTATGTAGCCAATCGTCCCAAATCGGAGGTGCAGTGTTGAGTCTATGGGTAGTGTTGAGTCTATGGGCAGTGTTGAGTCTATGGTGCAGTGTTGAGTCTATGGGCAGTGTTGAGTCTATGGGCAGTGTTGAGTCTATGGGCAGTGTTGAGTCTATGGGCAGTGTTGAGTCTATGGGCAGTGTTGAGTCTATGGACTGTGTTGAGTCTATGGGCAGTGTTGAGTCTATGGGTAGTGTTGAGTCTATGGGCGGTGTTGAGTCTATGGGCGGTGTTGAGTCTATGGGCAGTGTTGAGTCTATGGGGCAGTGTTGAGCCTATGGGTAGTGTTGAGTCTATGGGTAGTGTTGAGTCTATGGGCAGTGTTGAGTCTATGGGTAGTGTTGAGTCTATGGGTAGTGTTGAGTCTATGGGCAGTGTTGAGTCTATGGGCAGTGTTGAGTCTATGGGTAGTGTTGAGTCTGTGGGCAGTATTGAGTCTATGGGCAGTGTTGAGTCTATGGGCAGTGTTGAGTCTATGGTGCAGTGTTGAGTCTATGGGTAGTGTTGAGTCTATGGGCAGTGTTGAATCTATGGGCAGTGTTGAGTCTATGGGCAGTGTTGAGTCTATGGGCAGTGTTGAGTCTATGGGCAGTGTTGAGTCTATGGGCAGTGTTGAGTCTATGGGTAGTGTTGAGTCTATGGGCAGTGTTGAGTCTATGGGCAGTGTTGAGTCTATGGGCAGTGTTGAGTCTATGGACTGTGTTGAGTCTATGGGCAGTGTTGAGTCTATGGGTAGTGTTGAGTCTATGGGCGGTGTTGAGTCTATGGGCGGTGTTGAGTCTATGGGCAGTGTTGAGTCTATGGGGCAGTGTTGAGCCTATGGGTAGTGTTGAGTCTATGGGTAGTGTTGAGTCTATGGGCAGTGTTGAGTCTATGGGTAGTGTTGAGTCTATGGGTAGTGTTGAGTCTATGGGCAGTGTTGAGTCTATGGGCAGTGTTGAGTCTATGGGTAGTGTTGAGTCTATGGGCAGTGTTGAGTCTGTGGGCAGTATTGAGTCTATGGGCAGTGTTGAGTCTATGGTGCAGTGTTGAGTCTATGGGTAGTGTTGAGTCTATGGGCAGTGTTGAATCTATGGGCAGTGTTGAGTCTATGGGCAGTGTTGAGTCTATGGGCAGTGTTGAGTCTATGGGCAGTGTTGAGTCTATGGGTAGTGTTGAGTCTATGGGCAGTGTTGAGTCTATGGGCAGTGTTGAGTCTATGGGTAGTGTTGAGTCTATGGGCAGTGTTGAGTCTATGGGCAGTGTTGAGTCTATGGGAATTGTGTATGTATGTGGAACTTCTTTCGCAACATACGTAGCCAACCGTGCCAATTGGAGGCGCGGATGTGGTTTGACCAACCGTACTTGCGGTTTGAGATATCTTCACGGGCACACCGGTTTCATTACTCGCTCTGCTCCTCACTCGTCGGTGACTTGAGTCGCCGTTACCGCGCAAAACCAATTACTTTTAAGAAGCAATAAAAATATATATGTAGACGAAGGATCCTTGCGTCTTCACCTACATTCTGCGTGGACAATGTACATGTGTGTTGCATGACTGATGTTTTTGTTTTATTCAGGCCCGCCCCCACCCCACCGTTACCCCAGATAATTAACCCTTTCCCATTCCGATGACGTAGCTGCACGTCATCGGTTTTCCTTCCAATGACAATATTTAAAATGAGATTTCTTCATCGGTACATCTTCCCCGAGACTCCCACAAGGCCACACGGGAGGGCGTGTGGCACAGTTTGGCGCCGACCATCGTAGAGTGTGGCGGTCGTGCCGCTGCGGTTCTCTGCGGCGAGTGCGATGTCTTGAAAAACAGCGGCGCAACTGCTACTACGCCTCTCTAAATAAAATGAACGCTGAACCAGTTGCACGTTCCGAGATTCGGCGGTGAACGGGACCCCCGACCCTGCAACTTGCAGACTTTTCGGAACGAGAAAGGGGTTAAACGAGCTGACCGTAGGCGTACACCTTGTAATGCGCACGTAAAAAACTGCGAAACCCGTGTAAAGATCTCCGTACATTTCCGGTACCCCCTCGCGGCTTTGCGTCTTTGGGTGGCCATCCTACCACCTTCCCATCACCGCTAGAGCCAGGCCCTGTTACATACGGAGCGCTCCTAGCGCCCGCCATCGGGACACGAGCCTCCTCCGACCTACTGCTGTCGATGTCTCACACTTCCGACGCGGCAACGAGCCGTTCTCCCGGGCGTCCGCGGCAAAGGGCCGTTCTACCGGGCGTCCGTGCAGCCGCCGCTGCCCGTCCGCGTGTCCCTGGCGGTGATCTTGGGCCTCAGCATCGCCAGGCTGATGAGGATGGCCTCCTGTGGGCGGCACGTGGTCCCACACAAGAAACAGCGTCGGCACGATTTAAAACTATTCAGGCGTGTTTTAAATAATCTATTACATTGTTTTACCGGGTAAGGCCCACTGCAGCTGTATAGATATTTTTCCGAAGCGACCTGGCTGTCACAAATGATAGCTCAACGAAGTGGATTATCGCGTGGAAATGTAGAGCAGCCAAACGCTCTAAAATGCGTGATGTCGATTCTAAATATGATGGGTAAAACCAGAGGACCCTGAAAAAAATCCACGCGACCACAGGGAGAGAGACACGCAAACTACAAATATACAGCAGGCATCAGGGTCGGGATCGAACCCACGACCCCTGCATACCAGGCGAGGTAGTCAACATCTCTCCACCAAAGTGCTGTTTGATGATTTATTTAGCACGCACGCGGTGCTGAGACCATGATTTGCTGAATTCAGTCACCACCGGTTGGATCACTCGCTGGTGACGTCAATGCTGAATCCATTGCCCCCCAGCCACTTAGGCCATACACATAACATCGATGGACTGATGATAAACAGCCCTTTATCCATCCACTTTAATTAACCTCATGTACATTACCGCAGTACAGGGGTATACATAGGCTACAGAGTTCAAAAGCACGTGCATTCATCATGACCCGTCGGCAAATCTGATTTCCCATTACAAAACTGGAAAGTAAGTATTTTTTGATAATTGTTTTTTTACCCTTCTATCTGGCAACAAAACTGACACCTTTTTTACAAGGAGTCATGTTTGCATAGACCACAATACCTGCAGTCATAATGCAAACAAAAAACATAACTCTGATAATGTATGCACTGTCCTTGAAGTTGATTGGTCCACACCCGAGACAGCTTTCCTTAGAGCCTAGTCTCACCAATTATCATATTTTTTACTGGCAAATGAGGTTCCAATGGTGTAAATGCTTACCCCGAGCTCTCTTACTCTGATGGTGCATTGTCTTTGAGTTGTGCGCCTTTTGGCGTCATCTGGTCCAACCCATGTGAGACTAGGCTCTAAGGAAAGCTGTCTCAGGTGTGGACCAATCAACTTCAAGGACAGTGCATATCATCAGAATTATGTTTTTTGTTAGCATTATGACTGCAGGTATTGTGGTCTATGCAAACATGACTCCTTGTAAAAAAGGTGTCAGTTTTGTTGCCAGATAGAAGGGTAAAAAACCAATTATCATATTTTTACTGGCAAATGAGGTTCCAATGGTGTAAGTATTTTTTGTCGTGCAGTAGCGTTGCGTGGTTAGCAATGACCCGCGCCACCACCGCCACCGAACGCCACCAGGCTGGCGGCGAGAAATGATTGCGTATTCGGCGATGCCAGGCCGGCCGTGACACTGCAGGCCGCATCGAGGCCTCACCTCGGTGCGGATGGTGCGGCTCGCCTGGCCGGGGCAGGTATTGAGGTAGAGGTGGAAGAGGAGGCTCGGCTCGGCGACGCGAAGCCTCCGGTCGCTCGCCAGGCTCGACTCCAGCCCCTGCAGCCCGCCAAACACCAGCAGCAGGTGCCTGTGGGGTTGTCAAAGACAAAGATCCACCCCCCAGGTGTAGCCTTAATAGACTGGCGGGGAGAGTGCTGTTAGCGAGGAGCAGTTATGAAGGCCGGAAGGGCACACGAAGGGGTGGTTGGCCGGCATGATGCCCGGCCGTATTTGTCTCCCCGGTGCTGATGTTCACACACCGCACCAGGCGCTCGCTTAAGGCCGAGTCGACCTGTGGGATCGCGCACGCGACCACACACCGCACGCACAGCGCCATCCGACGAGCCTCTTGAGACGAGGTCACGATAACGCTCGTGAAGATGACCCAACGCTCGTGACGGTTTTGTACGTATGTACGTCGAACTCCTTTCGCACCGCACGTAGCCAACCGTGCTAATCTGAGGTGCGCTTAAACAAAAACTGGCTACACGTGTTGTGCGTTAAGACCACGCGGAGACGATTAATATTATTAAGGGCTGTTGCCGTTCATTAAACACTGCTACATTCGACACTTAAGCTCACACCAGAGGTAGGTGCTCTCTATTCTTGGTCCTTACCCCGGACCCCCAAACACTGTTGTCCTACTCTCGGCTACCCCTTGGGGCTCTCTCACTCGTCTGCCCGGGACGGGGGTTCATCCAACACCACCCAGCGACGAGGAGAGAGAAGCCCTCTTTCTCAGGCGATCCTTACTGAATACTTGGGGCCCTATTCTTGGCTATCCCCTCGGCTCTCCCACTCGTTTTCCCGGGACGGGGGTTCAGCCAACATCGCCCTGCGACGAGGAGGGAGAGACCTCATCCAGCCGATCCTTTCCCTGGCTCACCACAAAGACCCTGCCTTCGTCACGGGGTCCCCCTTAAATACCCCTTTGGCGGCTCCTCCCCCTAGCTCGGACCCGCCTTTGTTCCCGAAGGTACCCCCTTACAGCACCCGTGACGTCATCCTCGGCTGTCAGCCCGCTCGCACCTCCTGTTGGCCCCATCATGGTTCCTCACAATACTCCTCTACACACGGATCCAATGGTGACCCAAGACATGGGAGACACACGTCCAAGCGAAATATAAAAATGTATTTCGTCCTGACACAGCAGTTACCGGGTCGGCTTTCACACTGCTAATTAAATGCTTGATAAAAACAAGCTGGATAGCGCTACGTAATCCACGCATATGCATGACCTTTTCCAACCTGGTTAGTTAATAATAGTTATACGTATAAAGCACGTTTCTTGAGGGATCTCAAAGCGCTACAGTAGACACTCAGCACAACTCGCGAAGCTAATCACGAAGACACGGAAAAATAATGTGAATGCGACGAACCATTTTCTGATTTCGCAAAAAAGCTGAATAATCGGAGGTGTCCAGATACATTTTAAGATGCCGAGGGCCCTCAGTACGAATACGGCAGACCATCACCCACCCACCCCCACTCACCCCCACTCACCACCCACCCCCACTCACCACCCACCACCGGCCACTACCACCCACCACCGCCACCCACCACCGACACCCATCACCCACCACTACCCATCCATCACCACCACCCACCACCACCACCCATCCACCACCACCACCCACCACCACTACCACCCATCACCCACCACCACCCACTACCACCCACCACCACCACCCACCACCACCATCACCCATCCACCACCACCCACCACCACCAACTACCACCCACCACCACCCATCCATCACCCATCCATCACCACCCATCACCCGACCACCACCACCCATCCATCCATCATCACCACCACCCACCCACCACCCACCACCACCCACCCCCACTCACCACCCACCACCACCCACCCCCACTCACCACAGCCACCCATCACCCACCACCACCCATCCATCACCACCACCCGTCCACCGCCACCACCCACCGCCACCCCTCACCACCACCACCCACCACCGCCACCCATCCACCACCCACCACCACCCACCACCCACCACCCACCACCACCACCCACCACCACCACCACCCATCCACCACCACCACCCACCACCACCCATCCACCGCGACCACGCACCGCCACCCCTCACCACCACCACCCACCACCGCCACCCACCACCACCCACCTACCACCACCACCACCCATCCACCACCACCACCCACCACCACCCATCCATCACCACCACCCACCACCACCACCCACCACCACCCATCCACCGCCACCACCCACCGCCACCCCTCACCACCACCACCCACCACCGCCACCCACCACCACCCACCTACCACCACCACCACCCATCCACCACCACCACCCACCACCACCCATCCATCACCACCACCCACCACCACCACCCACCACCACCCATCCACCGCCACCACCCACCGCCACCCCTCACCACCACCACCCACCACCGCCACCCACCACCACCCACCTACCACCACCACCACCCATCACCCGCAGCAGCAGCGTTACCTGAATGGAGGGAGGCTCACATCGTCCACGCTCGCCCCCCTCTCCGACGTGCCGATGGTCAGGTCGTAGCCGCCCTTGAACGGACACTCGGTGAACACATCGCCTGCAGGGGAATCCGTTTAAAAACAAGAACGCAGTGACAGCACCGTTAACGATTTTTATTTTACCACCTAAAGGCCCACTGGGGTATATAAGAGCTCTTTTTTCAGAAGCGACCTGGCCACAAATAACATCTAAACCAAATGGCTTATCACAGATACATTTATAGCAGTTGCCAAATACTCTAAACGCGCGTTGTATGTATGTACCTTGAACTTCTCTTTCCCACCGCACAAAGCCAACCGTCTAAGTCTATGGGCAATGTTGAGTCTATGAGTAGTGTTGAGTCTATGGGTAGTGTTGAGTCTATGGGCAGTGTTGAGTCTATGGGCAGTGTTGAGTCTATGGGCAGTGTTGAGTCTATGGGCAGTGTTGAGTCTATGGGCAGTGTTGAGTCTATGGGCAGTGTTGAGTCTATGGGCAGTGTTGAGTCTATGGGCAGTGTTGAGTCTATGGGCAGTGTTGAGTCTATGGGCAGTGTTGAGTCTATGGGCAGTGTTGAGTCTATGGGAGTGTTGAGCTATGGGTAGTGTTGAGTCTATGGGCAGTGTTGAGTCTATGGGTAGTGTTGAGTCTATGGGCAGTGTTGAGTCTATGGGTAGTGTTGAGTCTATGGGCAGTGTTGAGTCTATGGGCAGTGTTGAGTCTATGGGCAGTGTTGAGTCTATGGGCAGTGTTGAGTCTATGAGGCAGTGTTGAGTCTATGGGCAGTGTTGAGTCTATGGCCAGTGTTGAGTCTATGGGCAGTGTTGAGTCTATGGGTAGTGTTGAGTCTATGGGCAGTGTTGAGTCTATGGGTAGTGTTGAGTCTATGGGCAGTGTTGAGTCTATGGGCAGTGTTGAGTCTATGGGCAGTGTTGAGTCTATGGGCAGTGTTGAGTCTATGGGCAGTGTTGAGTCTATGGGTAGTGTTGAGTCTATGGGCAGTGTTGAGTCTATGGGCAGTGTTGAGTCTATGGGTAGTGTTGAGTCTATGGGCAGTGTTGAGTCTATGGGTAGTGTTGAGTCTATGGGTAGTGTGAGTCTATGGGCAGTGTTGAGTCTATGGGTAGTGTTGAGTCTATGGGCAGTGTTGAGTCTATGGGTAGTGTTGAGTCTATGGGCAGTGTTGAGTCTATGGGCAGTGTTGAGTCTATGGGCAGTGTTGAGTCTATGGGCAGTGTTGAGTCTATGGGCAGTGTTGAGTCTATGGGCAGTGTTGAGTCTATGGGCAGTGTTGAGTCTATGGTGAGTCTATGGGCAGTGTTGAGTCTATGGGCAGTGTTGAGTCTATGGGCAGTGTTGAGTCTATGGGCAGTGTTGAGTCTATGGGCAGTGTCGAGTCTATGGGCAGTGTTGAGTCTATGGGCAGTGTTGAGTCTATGGGCAGTGTTGAGTCTATGGTCTATGGGCAGTGTTGAGTCTATGGGCTAGTGTTGAGTCTATGGGCAGTGTTGAGTCTATGGGCAGTGTTGAGTCTATGGGCAGTGTTGAGTCTATGGGCAGTGTTGAGTCTATGGGCAGTGTTGAGTCTATGGGCAGTGTTGAGTCTATGGGCAGTGTTGAGTCTATGGGCAGTGTTGAGTCTATGGGCAGTGTTGAGTCTATGGGCAGTGTTGAGTCTATGGGTAGTGTTGAGTCTATGGGCAGTGTTGAGTCTATGGGCAGTGTTGAGTCTATGGGCAGTGTTGAGTCTATGGGCAGTGTTGAGTCTATGGGCAGTGTTGAGTCTATGGGCAGTGTTGAGTCTATGGGCAGTGTTGAGTCTATGGGCAGTGTTGAGTCTATGGGCAGTGTTGAGTCTATGGGCAGTGTTGAGTCTATGGGCAGTGTTGAGTCTATGGGCAGTGTTGAGTCTATGGGCAGTGTTGAGTCTATGGGCAGTGTTGAGTCTATGGGTAGTGTTGAGTCTATGGGCAGTGTTGAGTCTATGGGCAGTGTGAGTCTATGGGCAGTGTGAGTCTATGGGCAGTGTTGAGTCTATGGGCAGTGTTGAGTCTATGGGCAGTGTTGAGTCTATGGGCAGTGTTGAGTCTATGGGCAGTGTTGAGTCTATGGGCAGTGTTGAGTCTATGGGCAGTGTTGAGTCTATGGGCAGTGTCTGAGTCTATGGGCAGTGTTGAGTCTATGGGCAGTGTTGAGTCTATGGGCAGTGTGAGTCTATGGGCAGTGTTGAGTCTATGGGCTAGTGTTCGAGTCTATGGGCAGTGTGAGTCTATGGGCAGTGTTGAGTCTATGGGCAGTGTTGAGTCTATGGGCAGTGTTGAGTCTATGGGCAGTGTTGAGTCTATGGGCAGTGTTGAGTCTATGGCAGTGTTGAGTCTATGGGCAGTGTTGAGTCTATGGCAGTGTTGAGTCTATGGGCAGTGTTGAGTCTATGGGCAGTGTTGAGTCTATGGGCAGTGTTGAGTCTATGGGCAGTGTTGAGTCTATGGGTAGTGTTGAGTCTATGGGCAGTGTTGAGTCTATGGGCAGTGTTGAGTCTATGGGCAGTGTTGAGTCTATGGGCAGTGTTGAGTCTAGGGTAGTGTTGAGTCTATGGGCAGTGTTGAGTCTATGGGCAGTGTTGAGTCTATGGGCAGTGTTGAGTCTATGGGCAGTGTTGAGTCTATGGGCAGTGTTGAGTCTATGGGTAGTGTGAGTCTATGGGCAGTGTTGAGTCTATGGGCAGTGTTGAGTCTATGGGCAGTGTTGAGTCTATGGGCAGTGTTGAGTCTATGGGCAGTGTTGAGTCTATGGGTAGTGTTGAGTCTATGGGCAGTGTTGAGTCTATGGGTAGTGTTGAGTCTATGGGCAGTGTTGAGTCTATGGGCAGTGTTGAGTCTATGGGCAGTGTTGAGTCTATGGGCAGTGTTGAGTCTATGGGTAGTGTTGAGTCTATGGGCAGTGTTGAGTCTATGTGCAGTGTTGAGTCTATGGGCAGTGTTGAGTCTATGGCAGTGTTGAGTCTATGGGCAGTGTTGAGTCTATGGGCAGTGTTGAGTCTATGGGCAGTGTTGAGTCTATGGGCAGCGTTGAGACTATGGGCAGTGTTGAGTCTATGGGTAGTGTTGAGTCTATGTGCAGTGTTGAGTCTATGGGTAGTGTTGAGTCTATGGGTAGTGTTGAGTCTATGGGTAGTGTTGAGTCTATGGGCAGTGTTGGGTCTATGGGCAGTGTTGAGTCTATGGGCAGTGTTGAGTCTATGGGTAGTGTTGAGTCTATGGGCAGTGTTGGGTCTATGGGCAGTGTTGAGTCTCTGGGCAGTGTTGAGTCTATGGGCAGTGTTGAGTCTATGGGTAGTGTTGAGTCTCTGGGCAGTGTTGAGTCTATGGGCAGTGTTGAGTCTATGGGTAGTGTTGAGTCTATGGGCAGTGTTGGGTCTATGGGCAGTGTTGAGTCTATGGGCAGTGTTGAGTCTATGGGCAGTGTTGAGTCTATGGGCAGTGTTGAGTCTATGGGCGGTGTTGAGTCTATGGGCAGTGTTGAGTCTATGGGCAGTGTTGAGTCTATGGGCAGTGTTGAGTCTATGGGCAGTGTTGAGTCTATGGGCAGTGTTGAGTCTATGGGCAGTGTTGAGTCTATGGGCAGTGTTGAGTCTATGGGCAGTGTTGAGTCTATGGGCAGTGTTGAGTCTATGGGCAGTGTTGAGTCTATGGGCAGTGTTGAGTCTATGGCGGTGTTGAGTCTATGGGCAGTGTTGAGTCTATGGGCAGTGTTGAGTCTATGGGCGGTGTTGAGTCTATGGGCAGTGTTGAGTCTATGGGCAGTGTTGAGTCTATGGGCAGTGTTGAGTCTATGGGCAGTGTTGAGTCTATGGGCAATGTTGAGTCTATGGGCAGTGTTGAGTCTATGGGCAGTGTTGAGTCTATGGGCAGTGTTGAGTCTATGGGCAGTGTTGAGTCTATGGGCGGTGTTGAGTCTATGGGCAGTGTTGAGTCTATGGGCAATGTTGAGTCTATGGTTCAGTGTTGAGTCTATGGGCAGTGTTGAGTCTATGGGCAGTGTTGAGTCTATGGTTCAGTGTTGAGTCTATGGGCAGTGTTGAGTCTATGTGCAGCGTTGAATCTATGTGCAGCGTTGAGTCTATGTGCAGCGTTGAGTCTATGTGCAGCGTTGAGTCTATGGGCAGTGTTGAGTCTATGTGCAGCGTTGAGTCTATGGGCAGTATGTAGTATGTCAAACTTCTCTTTCGCACCGTAATGTGTCCAACTGGTGCGGCTAGTGCGCGCGCGCCCACTCACCGAGGCCCGACGCCAGCCGCACCGTGTAGCCCCAGTAGATCCCCGCCCGCGTGCGCGGAACGTGCGGCGCCACCACCCTCCCTGCCGACGTTCACACACGGAACAAACCGTAAGCGCGGTGGGGCGGTGGGGGGGGGGGGGCGGTGGGGGGGGGGGCGGTGGGGGGGGGGCGGTGGGGGGGGGGGGGCGGTGGGGGTGGGGCGGTGGGGGGGGCGATCCGCTCGCAGCTCTGCGACGTGCTCGGGGGAAGCGTGCGGCGCGTCGTTCGCCGTGATGTCCGACGTTCCGCTCCGCGAGCCAAAATGAATTCAATCTTAATTTTGGAGCTTTCGTGACTGCAGGAATTATTCTTTGGTTCTTTCGGTAAAGTCACGTATAAAGATAAAATAATAAATTAAATAATAGCATACTACGACGTTTCGATTGCAACACAAGCAATCATCATCAGGTATAATGAAATAGCGACATAAAATCTAACCAGAAAACTATAGACAGACATATTAGCAGACAGATATCACCAAGATACATAGAGAGAGCAACACAGGTAACAGAGAGGGGTGATCGTCTCTGTGGGGTGGCCTTAAATAGACAGAGGGGGGGCGGAGGCAGAGAGAGGGAACAGTTCCCGAAGACGCTTTAGAACCGCCTTTTGCATTTCTTTAGCCAAACGCTTTAAGCGTTTAGCGTTTGGCTTGTCGTCCTTCCGCCGCACCTCCGATTGGCAAGGTTGGCTACACGTGCTTCGATGGAAAGTTGGGACGTACGTACATACAATGCAAGCGCGGTTAAATCCACAACACGGAGGGTCCACCCATCGCGTGAGCGTGCGTGCGTGCGTCTCGTTTGTCAACCGACCCGCGCTGTTGCCCTCCATCTGCACGGTGACTCTCGTGCCGGGCTGCAGTTTCCTGTCGATCGTCACCTCCTACCGGGACGAGACACAATTCACCGACACAATTCACCGACACAATTCACTGACACAATTCACCGACACAATTCACCCACACAATTCACTGACACAATTCACCCACACAATTCACTGACACAATTCACTGACACAATTCACCCACACAAGTCACCGACACAATTCAACTGTGTGTTTTATGTAACCTCCAACTGGGACTGCATCTAAAGACTGTGCAGTACAACACTTTGCATATCCTTGGTTCTTTCGGTAAAGTCACGTAGAAGGGAAATAATAAAATAATATAAATATACAATAAAATTTTTATTTTATTGCTTTATATTTCCCTTCTACGTGACTTTACCGAAAGAACCAAGAATATGAATCCCTGCAGTCACGAAAGCTTTAAATCAAAACACTTTGCATAGTTTTACAGAGCGTTTATGTGTGACCAAATGTCATGTTGCTGTACAGAAACCGCGGCCAATTTTAAGTGTGTGTGTGTGTGTGCGCGTGTGTGAGTCTGTCTGTGTGTGAGTGCTGGGGAGCGGTGGCACAGTGGTTAGTGCATTGCGCTATGAACTTGGCGACCCGAGTTACACATTCCCTTTCTCAGCCAGCATTGGTGGCGAATATCTGAACTGGTCCTGGGCCTCTCCTAGGTTCACTCAGCCTTAAATAATCACTCGGTGCAGTGAATAAACATCACCCGGGAGGAGAACAAAGGTGTTGTGTTGTACGGGGCTTTTGAGGTGGTCGCGATCAGGACTTGTTAAAGGCTACATGGGGGATCTTTGTCTGTGTATGTATGTTAAACTTCTTTCGCACCGTACGTAGCCAACTGTGCTAATCGGAAGGCGCGCTGGGGGGAGGACAACAAAATAAACGCACACCACCCACCACTACCCATCCATCACCACCACCCATCACCCACTACCACCCATCACCCACCACCACCCATCCACCACTACCCATCCATCACCATCACCCATCACCCACCACCACCCATCACCCACCACCACCCACCACTACCCATCCATCACCACCACCCATCACCCACCATCACCCATCCACCACTATCCACCACCATCCACCACCATCCATCACCATCCACCACCACCCACCACCACCCATCACCCACCACCCATCATCCACCACCATCCATCACCACCACCCATCCACCACCACCATCCATCTACCACCACCCATCACCCACCACCACCACCACCACCCACCACCACCACCCACCACCCACCACCACCACCCACCACCCTCCACCACCACCCATCCATCACCACCATCCATCCATCACCACCACCCATCCAGATAGCTCCAGTGGCTTCCCGTCGCTGCCTCGGGTGCGAGTGGCGGGAGCTATGGATGGACGAGCAGTGACCACCCCCCCCCCCCCTTGCCTTGTAGAGGCCGCAGTTGGCGCTGGCGCTGGCCCCGGGCGCTCCGCGATGCTCCAGCACGACTCCCTCGCGGTAGGGGCTCTCCTCGTCACGACGCATGTGGTGAGGGCTGTCCACGGGGTTCAGCAGTCCTAGGCAGCCGCAGGCAGTCACAGGCAGTCACAGGCAGCCGCAGGCAGTCACAGGCAGTCACAGGCAGTCACAGGCAGGTGCAGGCCGCGGTGCGGCACAAGGCAGGCATTAGGCAGGCATTAGCCGGGCGGCGGCGTCGGTAGCCAAGCTAGCGGCGTGGCCTGTAACCCAGCGCCGCGTGCAGGCAGCGGCGGCAGCAGCGAGGGGTTTGTGGACCACCGCACAGATGTTGGGAAACTCCCTCTCTAACCGTGGGTGGGCGTCGAGGAGGAGTCCGTACCCCTGGTTCTGCCAGAAGGCGGTACCCGGCAAAAACCTGGAACCCACCTGTTCCGTCTGTACGGGGATCGAACGTTTCCCCCTCACTCGCGTGGGTTTCCTCCCACACGTGTAATCACCCATTAGACGATAATGCCTTCATACAGAGGGGACCGCGAAGCTTGGGCAATTGTTGACGCCGGCTCATGGCGTGGCCGCTCTCTCCCATACTCGTCTTTGGTTCCTCCTCGTGCGAAGAGCGAACGGATACCGCGTGGTGGCGGCGGCGTTACAAGGTGACATTGTTATCATTAACTATCACCGCGTCTCTTTTGCCACTGGGGGGGGGAAAGAATGGGCGTCGTGTGGCGTGCAGTCCGGAGGTTACCTCCCCCCCTCCCCCAATACCGCCGTCTCAAGCCACTGCCACACGGCGATCTCGCGGTACGGACAAGCGAGTTGCTTCGAGAGACAACATGCGACACCAGCCGCCTGTTAAAGTCTATACGGGGTGGGGGGTCTTTGTGTGTGTTGCGAGTGTTCGAGCCGTAGGAGACCATGAACCCTGCCTTGTAAAGGAGTCTGTTGGCTTCGGCGCAAACCAACGAAGTAATTTCTCCAGCTACCTCCGTTTCTTTTTCCCTTCCGCATTTAGAATCAACGTACGTTTAGAGCAGTGGTTCTTAACCTGGGGTGCACGCTGCACCCTCTGGGGGGTACAAGATTCCCTTTCTGGGGGTGCGAAACAGTGGCCAGATTGTTTCAGAAGGTAAATCATTGAAAACACAAATTAAGCATGGGCATGTAAGCACAACGACTTTGTTTCATCAAACCCTATGTAGTTATTTACATGAAACAAGTTGCAGCAAAATATACTAATAGGGTTTTCCCCCTTTTTTCTGGCAACAATACTGACACCTTTTGCAAGGAATCATGCTTACATTAACCACAATATTTGCAGTCAAATTCAAACAAAAAACAACTCTGATCATTTATGCATTGTCTTTGAAACTGATTGGTCCACACCAGAGACAGATATTGCAACAAAGGTTAAGAACCGTTGGTTTAGAGTATTCGGCTGCTATAAATTTCCATAATCAACATCTTTGGGTTACGACAGATTTGTAAACAACGCGATCTAACCCAAAAACGTTCATCATACATTTCCACATGATGGTAAGCCACTTGGTTGAGCTATCATGTGTGGCCAGGTCGCTTCTGAAAAGAGCTACATAGCTCAGTGGGGCCTTACCTGGTAAAATAAAAAATTAGTTAGTAAGTACATGTATACGTAGGCTTTCGCAACCAATATTATTCATAATCAACGTTTTTGGGTTTAGATGGCGTTATTTATAAATGTGTCATAACCCTCCACCACCCGACACGGCCAATCAGTAAGAAAGTGTCACGTTGACAAAAGACAAAATAGTTCGCTGCTTTAGCCCCACCGGTGTGTTGAAGCGTGAAACCACAACATTTACATTCTTTTTTTTGTTGTCTTTTGTCAAGTACATTTATCTTTGTGCTGTCACCAACAAAAAGGTAACGTGTTGTCTATAGCCAAATATCCCCTTTATAGCCTTAACAGACTGCTAGGGTAAGTGCTGTTAGCACGTACCTATGAAAGCTGGCACGGCACACGAGGGGGTGGGTGGCCACCACCACGCTCGAGTGGCGATGTTTATCACACACCGCACCAGGTACTCATTATTTGAGGCCGAGTCGACCTAGAGTAGCCGCAGGACCCGGTCAGATCATCGTCACCGGTGTTGACTGCGAGCGGGAATCGAATTCGGCCGGCCGGGTTCGTAGCGCAGTGGGCTAACCACCACGCTACCGCTCCCCATAGAGAGCTCCCATTGTCTAAAGCTTCCATTGTCTAAAGCTCCCATTGTCTAAAGCTCCCATTGTCTAAGGCTCCTATTGTCTAAAGCTCCCATTGTCTAAAGCTCCCATTGTCTAAGGCTCCCAGTGTCTAAAGCTCCCATTGTCTAAGGCTCCCATTGTCTAAGGTTCCCATTGTCTAAGGCTCCCATTGTCTAAAGCTCCCATTGTCTAAAGCTCCCATTGTCTAAGGCTCCCATTGTCTAAGGCTCCCATTGTCTAAAGCTCCCATTGTCTAAAGCTCCCATTGTCTAAAGCTCCCAGTGTCTAAGGCTCTCAGTGTCTAAAGCTCCCATTGTCTAAGGCTCCCATTGTCTAAAGCTCTCATTGTCTAAAGCTCCCATTGTCTAAGGCTCCCATTGTCTAAAGCTCCCATTGTCTAAAGCTCCCATTGTCTAAAGCTCCAAGTATCTAAAGCGCCCAGTGTCTAAAGCTCCCATTGTCTAAAGCTCCCATTGTCTAAAGCTCCCATTGTCTAAAGCTCCCATTGTCTAAAGCTCCCATTGTCTAAAGCTCCCAGTGTCTAAGGCTCTCAGTGTCTAAAGCTCCCATTGTCTAAAGCTCCCATTGTCTAAAGCTCCCAGTGTCTAAGGCTCTCAGTGTCTAAAGCTCCCAGTGTCTAAAGCTCCCATTGTCTAAAGCTCCCAGTGTCTAAGGCTCTCAGTGTCTAAAGCTCCCATTGTCTAAAGCTCCCAGTGTCTAAAGCTCCTTATTGTCTAAAGCTCCCAGTGTCTAAAGCTCCCATTGTCTGAAGCTCCCATTGTCTAAATCTCCCATTGTCTAAAGCTCCCAGTGTCTAAAGCTCCCATTGTCTAAAGCTCCCTTTGTCTAAGGCTCCCATTGTCTAAAGCTCCCATTGTCTAAAGCTCCCATTGTCTAAAGCTCCAAGTGTCTAAAGCGCCCAGTGTCTAAAGCTCCCAGTGTCTAAAGCTCCCATTGTCTAAAGCTCCAAGTGTCTAAAGCGCCCAGTGTCTAAAGCTCCCAGTGTCTAAAGCTCCCATTGTCTAAAGCTCCCATTGTCTAAAGCTCCCATTGTCTAAAGCTCCCATTGTCTAAAGCTCCCATTGTCTAAAGCTCTCATTGTCTAAAGCTCCCATTGTCTAAAGCTCCCATTGTCTAAAGCTCCCAGTGTCCCACCTGCGTACTGGAGGTCCTTGTGCTTTGGGAAGAAAGCTTTCCGAAGGTACCTGCAAAACACAGCACGACGTGTACGGAGTTTGTGAAGGTTCGGGAACGCACAGAGGACGTCCGGTTTCCATTCGTAATGAGCACGTGGCAAATATCTTGGGATGTGAATGGTCACGTAAACACAGAAGTGGTGTTAACATATAATGCCTCGTTATTCACCAACTTGGCTATCCGCTATTTTGGCTATCCGCAAATCGTATCTGGAACTAGTACGGGGCTGCATAGAGAGAGAAAGTAAGTGATCAGGTAAAGTGATGAGATGACAATGGAGACCGGCGCATACATCATGTGTGGGTGAGTGGGTGGGTAAGTGGGTAGGCGAGTGGGTGGGTGAGTGGGTGGGCGAGTAGGTGGGTGGGTGGACAAGTGGGTGAGTGGTTGGGTGGATGAGTGGGTGGGTGGGTGGTCGGGGTGAGTGGGTGGGCGAAGTGGGTGGGCGAGGTGGGTGGGTGGATGGGTGGGCAAGTAGGTGGGTGGGTGGACGAGTGGGTGGGTGGACGAGTGGGTGGGTGGACGAGTGGCTGGGTGGATGAGTGGGAGAGTTAGTGGGTGAGTCCATCAGATAGCATGCAGACAGTTAAATGCGAATGGTGCACAGCTTGTAGAAGTAGCAGCGGCAAGTGAGTGGAGACGTACTGTGGGCACTCGAGATACTGCAGGATCCGTGCGAGCTGCACGCTGCCGTAACCGTGCTTCCCGGCACCGGGAGACTCATCCTCGGCGCTCCTGCGAAGCGGCACGGACAGGAAGACGGGCGACGTTGGAGTCTTCCATCGCTGATACTACTGTAGTGACATAAGAAGGGAGGGGCTGCTGGGGCCTCTGGGACTCTGGGCGGGCCAGGCGCTTTAAGCCGCTTGGCGCCACCAACGGGGGGGGGCTGTGTGTGCTCTGTGGGATATCTGGGAGCGCACACGGCCCCACCCCTCGTTGGGGACTAGGCATAAAAGGGGAGCTCCCTGGACGATCAGGGCCCAGTCGTAGCTCAAGACCCAAGACCAGCCATCTGAGGACCCTGGGACGCTGTGAGAGCCAGTGGTGGGACTCTGAAACTCCCGGCTCTACGACCTTGTGAGGGCGAGTTCCAGACCGTAGCCAGAGTAGAGTATCTAGAAACACGCATTGAGCTTATTTAGACTATTTTGCTGCTATAAAGCTCCACGTGATAAGCCACTTTGTTGAGCTATCATTTGTGGCCAGGTCGCTTCTGCAAAATAAGTCAATACCTCAGTCGGCTTTACCTGGTAAGATAAACAATTATTTAGTTTTATTTGTAAGTGATGTCTCTACCTTTCCTATACACTCCTATCGTATTTTTGTACTGTTTGTTGTTGTTGTTGTAACGTTCTCATCGGAACCTCCTGGACATCTGTGGGAAAAATAGCTTCATAGCTCATCGGATTCCTCTTCCAGTATTAATAAATATTCTGATTCTGATCTCGAAGACTTGGTCTACCAGACTGACCTTTTCGTCTCTACTACTGGCAGCAGGCGAATGCCCCAGGTCTACTCTTGCATCGTCGTCACGATCCATGGGGCAGGTTAGCCCCCAAGTGTCCACTGCACATGCTTAGCACGGTTGGCTACGTACGGTGTGCGCAAAAAAGTTCCAACATACACATGTAGAGGAGTAAAATGGGGACGTGACGTCAGGTGTGCCGTTCAGTGCGATGACGTCACGTCTCCTAGGGTACTTAAGGGATACCCCGTGACATAAGCGGGGTCACTGTGGGAACGGGTAGAGTAAACAGGGTGAAGAGGGAACTAGGGATAGAGAGAGGGATCAAATAGGGAGTCTGGGGAGAAGCCGGTGGTAGCCGTAGAGGTGCTTCTCTCTCCGCTCGGTGGAGTCGGCAGAGTCCCCGATCCGACACGAGAGAGAGAGACCGGAGCTAGCCGGCAGGGACCCGGACTCAGAGTAGGACCCCTAGCCCCTGGGAGTTGTGTACCCTTCTGTGTAATATTGTAACAGCTCTAATAAACCCTGGCGGAAGCCCCTAACTTACCTCCGACTCCGAGTACGTCCGTCGGAACTACTCAACACACACGTACATAACTTTCTGAACCTCTGCGAAAAAGCGCTTCACAGCTTCCTCCTATTTCTCCAGGACAGTTAAACGATTCCGACGGAGTGTTACCACCTTCTTGATTCTTTCGGTAAAGTCACGTAGAATGGAAATAATTAAATAATAAAAATACAACATAATAAAATAAAAATAAACATAAACTTTCTTTTTTATTATTTTATTATTTACATTCTACGTGACTTTACCGAAAGAACCAAGAAAATGATCCCTGCAGTCACGAAAGCTTTAAATCGAAATTCATCTTCTTGGTTCTTTCGGTAAAGTCACGTAGAAGGGAAATAATAAAATAATGAAAATAAAACATAATAAAATAATTCTCAGTGAGAATTATTTTATTATGTTTTATTTTTAATATTTTATTTCTTTCCTTCTACGTGACTTTACCGAAAGAACCAAGAAGATGAATCCCTGCAGTCACAAAAGCTTTAAATCGAGTGTGACCACGATTTTCCTACTTGCGGTCGGCGCCCTGCTCGTCGAACACCACCACCTCGTCGACGGCGAAGATGGTGAGGGCACGAGCCACCTGCCCCGCCAGGTACGAGCGCAGCTCGGCCGACTGCGCGTTCTCCAGGATGGAGCCGGGCAGGGCGAGGCTCACCGTGTAGGCCCGCCCTGGACGACGGGCAGTCACGGGGGGAGGGACGCAAGGGTGGACGTCAGTGGGGGAGAGAGGGGATTTCTTTAACACCTTTGGAAGGGGGCAGAGGCCGCAACCGGGTACCCGATACCCGTACCCTACCCGATACCCAGCTACTCGTACCCGGCCGGGTACGAGTAGCCGTTTGTGACCCTGGTGCGGCCGGGTACGGGTAGACCGTGAGTCACTGGTGAGTAACCGTTTGTCACTCATTTCCCAACGTCTTGTCTCTTCTCACAATTCAAGTTCTTAGAATCAACCCACCCGCGCCTGCAACAAGGCTTCATCCCAGAGGTCGCAATCGGGTACCCGATACCCGTACCCTACCCGATACCCGGCCGGGTACGGGTAGACGGGTATCGGGTAGGGTACGGGTACGGGTACCCGTTTGCGACCCTGGTGCGGCCGGGTACGGGTACGGGTAAGGAATCAAAACCCGTTTGCGACCTCTGGAAGGGGGTCCCCACACATGAACGACGCAAGCACGTAGAGCAAACGATTACGCAAGCGTGTACGTGGGTATTACGATTGAACCGATTTTTTTTTCTAGATTTGAAGTTTTCGTGTCTGCAAGGGTCCATACTCTGGTTTTTTAGGTAAAGTCACGTAGGTAGAAAATGAAATAAATTAAAAATTTAAACAACTAAATAAAATCACAAAAACGAAACAATTTAGTTGTTTTCATTTTTAACTTATTTTATTTTTTACCTACGTGACTTTACAAAAAAAAAAACAAAGAGTATGACCCTATTTTGTATTTCACCCACTGAAGCGACCTGGCCATCACCAATGATGGCTCAACGAAGTGGCACCATCATGTGAAAATACATCATTCACACGCTCACTTACTCGTTCACTCACTCGCTCACTCGCCCATTCACTCGCTCGCCCGCTCACTCACCCGCTCACTCACCCGTTCATTTGCTCATAGACTCGTTCACTCATTCACTCACTAGTTTACTCATTCACTCGCTCGCTCACTCACTCATTCACTCACTAGTTTACTCATTCACTCACTCGCTCTCTCACTCGCTCTCTCGCTCTCTCACTCGCTCTCTCACTCGCTCACTCGCTCTCTCACTCACTCACTCGCAGGCGCTGCTATTCACTAACAACACTTTCACCCAACAGTCTGTTACAGGCTACACGGGGGATCTTTGTCCGTCTCCGAAAGGGTGAGAGGTTGTGGGGTAGTGATGTAGAGGTCACGGGGTAGTGATGTAGAGGTCACGGGGTAGTGATGTAGAGGTCACGGGGTAGTGACGTGGAGGTCACGGGGTAGTGATGTGGAGGTCACGGGGTAGTGATGTGGAGGTCACGGGGTAGTGATCTGGAGGTCACGGGGTAGTGATGTGGAGGTCACGGGGTAGTGATGTGGAGGTCACGGGGTAGTGATGTGGAGGTCACGGGGTAGTGATGTGGAGGTCACGGGGTAGTGATGTGGAGGTCACGGGGTAGTGATGTAGAGGTCACGGGGTAGTGATGTGGAGGTCACGGGGTAGTGACGTGGAGGTCACGGGGTAGTGATGTGGAGGTCACGGGGTAGTGATGTGGAGGTCACGGGGTAGTGATGTGGAGGTCACGGGGTAGTGATGTGGAGGTCACGGGGTAGTGATGTGGAGGTCACGGGGTAGTGATGTGGAGGTCACGGGGTAGTGATGTGGAGGTCACGGGGTAGTGATGTGGAGGTCACGGGGTAGTGATGTGGAGGTCACGGGGTAGTGATGTGGAGGTCACGGGGTAGTGATGTGGAGGTCACGGGGTAGTGATGTAGAGGTCACGGGGTAGTGATGTAGAGGTCACGGGGTAGTGATGTAGAGGTCACGGGGTAGTGATGTGGAGGTCACGGGGTAGTGATGTAGAGGTCACGGGGTAGTGATGTAGAGGTCACGGGGTAGTGATGTGGAGGTCACGGGGTAGTGATGTAGAGGTCACGGGGTAGTGATGTGGAGGTCACGGGGTAGTGATGTGGAGGTCACGGGGTAGTGATGTGGAGGCCACGGGGTAGTGATGTAGAGGTCACGGGGTAGTGATGTAGAGGTCACGGGGTAGTGATGTAGAGGTCACGGGGTAGTGATGTAGAGGTCAGGGGGTAGTGATGTGGAGGTCACGGGGTAGTGATGTGGAGGTCACGGGGTAGTGATGTAGAGGCCACGGGGTAGTGATGTAGAGGTCACGGGGTAGTGATGTGGAGGTCAGGGGGTAGTGATGTGGAGGTCACGGGGTAGTGATGTGGAGGTCACGGGGTAGTGATGTAGAGGTCACGGGGTAGTGATGTGGAGGTCACCTGCATCCCCTGGGCTCACAGATGCTCTCTCATCCCCATTCCTGCAAGTCTCCGTCACCTCCGCTTTATTCCGATTCTTCTCTTTGCCATCTCTCTTCTTCTTCTGTGGATCTATTTATCGCAGGCAAATGCTCCAATAACACACATTGATTCTAAACTGGAGGACCCGGAGAAAAATCCACGCGACCACGGGGAGAACATGCAAACTCCAAATATTAAGGTCGGGATCGAACCCACGACTTCCTGTACACCAGGCGAGGGAGTTAACATCTCCTAGCCACCGTGATGATGATGAGAGAGAGAGACACGCAAACTCCAAATATACAGCTGCAGGCGTCAGGGTTGGGATCAAACCCACGACCTCCTGTACACCAGGCGAGGGAGTTAACATCTCCTAGTCACCGTGGCACCCATAACGGAAGTGACCAGGCGCGCTAAAAATATCAAACAAGTCTTGCCACCCGATCGATATCACACCATCCCCTCTAGTACCCGATCAGTGGGGCTAAGATGCCGGCAGTGAGGGATGAATATTATTTGCGGGCCGTTTCGAAGTGGTCGACCTTGTGTGGCCGTGCGCCATAAGGCGATGGGCCGTAGGCGTTGCCACCCCTGACGTAGGCCCCAGCTACGTCGAGAGATTCAACGATTGCAACGATCATCATCTCAACGCACGCACCCCGAACGGCGCTTCGTGAGAATCAATCACACTTGATGCAGTAATTTTAGCTGTGACGGTCCCACCTGATGACGGAGACTTGTGTTGCCTCCGAAACGCCGTGATTTATTATTTTATTTCCAGTATTACTTTTAGTAACTTTTAATTGTATTTTTTACCTACGTGACTTTACCGAAAAAACCTAAGAGTATGAATCCTTGCGGTCACGAAAGCTTCAAATCTAGAAAGAATCAATCAGTCGTGAAATTCTCTATGGACGTGGAGCCGCTGCCGCCGTTACGTTCAGGCTGACAGAGCCAATAAAACACTGTACACACAAGGCGGGGAAATAAAATAAGCAATGCAAACGAAACGGTAGAAATTTCGATTCAAAACTTTCGTGACTGCAGGGATTCATCTTCTTGGTTCTTTCGGTAAAGTCACGTAGAAGGGAAATGTTCTTCACCTGAGGACGGCTGCTTGCGTTGTGGCCGAAACGTCGTGAGAATTATTTTATTATGTTTTATTTTTATTATTTCTCTTCTACGTGACTTTACCGAAAGAACCAAGAAGATGAAACGGTACAAGAGAGGCGAATAATTATATTATTTATAAATTACAATATTCCCACGTTATTTGCTAACTTACTACCCGCGATTTTGGCTATCCGCGAATCGCATCTGGAGAGAGAGTGACGAGATAAAGTGATGAAAAAAAGTAATGAGCGAGAAAGATTATTTATGCATTCAAGGTAATTCATTCAAATATCATTACCCGCGAAATTTGCTATACACGAGCATCTCCGGAATGTATCCCTCGCGCATAACGAGGGAATTCCGTAATATTAAATCAATTCGCAACCTCGAGGCGTGATACGTCATTTGATCAGCATTGGGGAGAGTCATCATCCTATGCCTCGTCTCTGAGGTCTTCTTAGTTCCTTGGCCCTTCGGACCAGAGGTCGCAACCGGGTACCCGATACCCGTACCCTACCCGATACCCGGCTACCCGTACCCGGCCAGGTACGGGTACGGGTAGCCGTTTGCGACCCTGGTGCAGCCGGGTACGGGTACGGGTAGGCCGTGAGTCACTGGTGAGTAACCGTTTGTCACTCATTTCGGGTAGGGTACGGGTAGGGAACGGGTACCCGTACCCGGCCGGGTACGGGTACAGGTAGCCGTTTGCGACCCTGGTGCGGCCGGGTACGGGTACGGGTAGGCCGTGAGTCACTGGTGAGTCACCGTTTGTCACTCATTTCTGGTAGGGTACAGGTACGGGTAGGGAACGGGTACCCGTTCCCGGCCGGGTATGGGTACGGGTAGCCGTTTGCGACCCTGGTGCAGCCGGGTACGGGTAGGCCGTGAGTCACTGGTGAGTAACCGTTTGTCACTCATTTCGGGTAGGGTACGGGTACGGGTAAGGAACGAGTACCCGTACCCGGCCGGGTACGGGTACGGGCACCCATTTGCGATCCTGGTGCGGCCGGGTACGGGTAAGGAATCAAAACCCGTTTGCGACCTCTGCTTCGGACGATCGGCGCACTGTCCAATTGCTTCACCGCTCCGCGGACGTGCCCAGTCGGCAAGTGTGGTGAGGAGTGTGGAAAGGTTGGGAGCCGGTGGCGCAGGGGTTGGTGGACTGCTCTACGAACCAAGCGACCCGAGTTCGATTCCTGCTCACGGCCACCAACACGCGCCGACGATTATCTCAACCGGTCCTGAGCCTCACCTCGGTTGACCGAGCCTCAAAACGAGTACCTGGTGCGATGTGTAAACATCGCCACTAGGGAGGCAAGGGTTGTCGGGTGTGGTCCTGGCCATCCACCAGAGGTCGCAAACGGGTTTTGATTCCTTACCCGTACCCGTACCAGGATCGCAAACGGGTACCCGTACCCGGCTGGGTACGGGTACTCGTTCCCTACCCGTACCCTACCCGAAATGAGTGACAAACGGTGACTCACCAGTGACTCACGGCCTACCCGTACCCGTACCTGGCCGCACCAGGGTCGCAAACGGGTACCCGTACCCGTACCTGGCTGGGTACGGGTAGCCGGGTATCGGGTAGGGTACGGGTATCGGGTACCCGGTTGCGACCTCTGCCACCCACCCGCTCGCGTGCCTGCCTGAATAGGCGCTGCTACTCGCGAACAGCACTTGTCCCAAACATTCAGTTACAGGCTACACGGGGGATCTTTGTCCGTCTCTGGAGGGGCGAGAGGTTACGGGGTAGTGATGTAGAGGTCACCTGCATCCCCCGGGCTCGTCTCTCCGTTCTGGCGAGTTTCTGTTTCCTCCGCTTTGTCATTCTTCAGCTTCTTCTCTTTGCCATGTCTCTTCTTCTTCTGTGGATCTCCCTCTGAGCAGGAATAAAAACAAGTATAACCCGTAAAAACAACGTTTTTCACTATAAATCCTTCATATGCGTGGCGGCTAGTCCTCTCGTCCTCTGGCTTGAGATGGCTGCCACCTGTGGGTCAGATGACTGCATTGCACCATTAAGCAATTGGTGATTAAATATTATTTTTTTGTCCTAAAAAGTGTACAATTTTGGAAAAAAAATTTCACGAACATTAATTGTCACGCACAACGAGTCTGTGTGGAAAATGTCAGCTCGATTGGATCACGGGAAGTGGGTTAAAAAACGACCGAAAGATTTGCACGGTCGTAAGCAAGCAAGCAAGCGCGCAAGTGAACTTAATATAAAGGATTTAAAAATACACGATCGAAATTTTGCCCCGTGCTATTTTTATTTTCCCTTCAGATCATCACCGCTCACGACTTGGTGGGCAGTCATAATATAGGTTTTTTTGGGTCAGATCGCGTTATTTATAAACGTGTTGTAACCCTCCACCACCCGACACGGCCAAACAGTAAAAAATGTGTCACGTTTTTCAAAGGACAAAATAGTACACAAGAGAGAATCAACAGCATTTTAAAATGTGAGTAGTACGATGTTTCGCTGATAATTATAATCAGCTTCATCGGGCAAGAATGGTGAAGCTCTCCTGTTGGTCCCGGTCTTAAATAGAGCAGCAGCAGCAGCAGGGTGACATCATCATTTAATTCAATTCAATTGGTGGGCAGTAACACCTCGCAGCAACACCCATTATTGCACTACAATTAGTTACACCCCCACCTTCGGAACGCAGTAATGCACTGGGTTTAAACGCACGTACGGTCAACAATAGAAAGGGAAGCTTTGTTTTAATTCATAAATAAGAAATATTGTACATTTGCACGTGACGCTGTAAATAGTTCCGCAGTTCAGTTCGCAAGTGCGAGTTTATGTTCGCAGGTCGAATGGTTGAAAGAATAAATGTGTTGTGGAAGCTCGTTCATGAGTACAGACGTTCATAAGTGCGGATGTCCACAAGTGTGTATGTCCGTAAGTCGGGAGACTGCCTGTATTATCTTCTTGGTCCTTTCGGTAAAGTCACGTAGAAGGAAAGTAATAAAATAATAAAAATAAAACATAATAAAATAATTCTTACGACGTTTCGGCCACAACGCAAGCAGCCGTCCTCAGGTGAAGAACATGTCTGTCGATAAGACAGAGTCGTCCTCAGGTGAAGAACATGTCTGTCGATAAGACTCTGTCTTAGGTGAAGAACATGTCTGTCGATAAGACTCTGTCTTAGGTGAAGAACAGGTCTGTTGATAAGACTCTGTCTTATCGACAGACATGTTCTTCACCTGAGGACGGCTGCTTGCGTTGTGGCCGAAACGTCGTGAGAATTATTTTATGTTTATTTTTATTATTTTATTACTTCCCTTCTACGTGACTTTACCGAAAGAACCAAGAAGATGAATCCCTGCAGTCACGAAAGCTTCAAATCGAAAAATGCCTGTATTATAATAATAGAAAGTCCCCGATGGTGTTTTGGCAAGAGCTCACCCAAAGCAGCCCTCCTCTTCCTGCTGTCCTCCATCACTCACCTCCTGCAACAGCGAGAGAGTTACACAGTTACAGCAGCAGCAACAAACAACAACCGCCGTTCACCACTAAGTGGCGGTGACATCACCACGGCGCTTGTGCCATGCTAGGTGCACTTTGAGGCCATCACGTGTCGAAGGCCCGCTGGCAAGTTACGGAACAGACCCAGGTGCCATGAGTTGACTGACTGAGATGACTGGCCCAATGCACCACCTGTGCTCCCCACTGTGCCAACTTTCTGCGTTTTAACCGCCCGGCGCTCTGCTCGTTGTTGTGAGCGTCGCTCCTCTGCTCTCCGTTGTTGCTGGCGAACAATTGCCACCAAATGGCCAGCAGCGTCCTTCACGAGCCTCCTCCACAGAGAACGATCTTGACACCGCCGGTACCAGTCATCGGCAAGTCCACTCAGCGCACCCACACGCATTAAACGTGCAAGGATCTCGCGATTAACATTACGATTCGTTTTTTTATTCTTGGGCAAATCCCGTACGCTACGAGCTCGTGTAGAACCTGTTGTCACCATCGCGAACAATCTGGAAACTATCCGATTGATCTTCTTGGTTCTTTCGGTAAAGTCACGTAGAAGGGAAATAATAAAATAATTAAGATCTAACATAATCAAGTACAATTCTCACGATGTTTCGGCCACAACGCAAGCAGCCGTCCTCAGGTGAAGAACAGGGCTGTCGGAAAGACAGCGTCTGAATGAATGAACACCAAGCTTGGTGGTGTTCATTCATTCAGACTTCGTAGTGTTCATTCACTCAGATGCTGTCTTTCCGACAGCCCTGTTCTTCACCTGAGGACGGCTGCTTGCGTTGTGGCCGAAACGTCGTGAGAATTGTATTAAATGTTTTATTTTTATTAATTTATTATTTCCATTCTACGTGACTTTACCGAAAGAACCAAGAAGATGAATCCCTGCAGTCACGAAAGCTTTAAATCGAAATTTATCCGATTGATGATAGCTGTCCACTCCCCACAATTGTTAAATGTGTGTTGTGGATCACTCTCCAGCAGCATTACCGGTGGCGCTGAAGAAGTGATGCACAGTACCATCCTCGATGTGTAAATGATGTTGGGTTTACTCTCCAACACACCGGTGTGTTGAAGCAGTAACTAATTGGCACGTTGTGTTTATACGGCAAACCTTACTTAACTGTAGGCCTCAGCAAGGTAAGCGGTAAAAACGAGCCTACCTTTACCCTACCTTTTACTTCACAATACAATCACTCTATCCTTACCTTTTACCCTTGAGCAAGGTAAAAAGATCAAAAGCAACGAGCCTACATTCACCCTACCTTTTAGCCTTACCCCATAAAAATTACTTGATTACAGGGTAAATACTGGAGTACTACTACACATGAAAAAGGTTTATAACAGGTAAATGCTAGGTGGAGCGCTTTATTCATATAGAATACTCTCGATGATTCCAATTTTAAATGGAGGCCACGGACTGCGCCACGGAGCTTTTAGCGAGCGGTAAGCAAGGTATTTACCGGGTAATACTTGGCGCTACCTTTACCCTACCCTCTACCTTACCCCTTGGCATGTCGACACCTTTACCCCTTTTACCCGGTAAAAGGGGTAAATTACCCTACCTTGCCGAGGCCTACTTAAGTGGCTGTGTCGGGCTGTGTCGGGTGGTGGGGGGTTCAACACGACACATTGATATTGACGCGATGTAACCCAACAACAAAAACCTTATTATAGCAACTTCATTAAGGGGCCGTGTTGGGTGTTAGGAGGGTTGCACGACACGGATTTGACTTCCGCGATCGGACCCACAAATCTACGACAAATCATGTAGACGTTATACTCCACACACACACACATAACGACAACCGCCACTCGTCACTAAGTGGCGGTGACGTCTCCTACGGCGCTTGTGCCAGGCTAGGTGCACGTTGAGGCCACGTGAAGTGTCGAACGCCCGCTGGCAGAAGGTCACGGGGCAGACCCAGCAGGTGCCGTGGGTCGACTGAGATGACCCAGCCGATGCACCACCACCTGTGCCCCCCTTACTGTGCCATGCAAAGCAAAGATCCCCAGTATCGTCTTTAACAGACTTAACACGTAGGCTTTCGCGACCATTATCATACATGAGGTTGTTTGGGTTTGATCGGGTAAATATGTAATTAAAACCAAGGCTCTAGTCATGTAGTCAACATTTGGGGGGGACCAAATCTTTCAGGGGGTCTGGGGGTACCTCCCCAAGAAAAAAAATATCTCAATTTGAAAACGAATTTCCTGCCATTTCCTACCTAAAATATAAAAAATTAACTAACACATAGGACGGACTTTTTTTTACAATAATGTCTAATAGCGTATTGTATTACATTGCTGTTTTTTCTTTTTTACCTTTTCTTGTTTCATTGTATGTAATGGCAGCGATTAGGGATTAATAAAGTATAACCATAACCACAATCATACAAACAGAAATCTATTTTATAGCAATATATTGGCGGGGACATTTTGAGCATATTTGAATATTGGGGGGGGGGGATGTCCCACCCCCAATATTTATTATAATTACGACCTTGGTTAAAACCCACCACCACCACCCGACACAGCCAACTAGTAAGTGTTGTGTCACGTAAACAGATCTGGCTGTCGCCTGATGAAGCTGGTTGTAATTACTGGCGAAACGTCGTACTCAGATTGTAAATGTTGTGGCTTGGCTCTCCAACACACCGGTGTGCTGTACTAGTACACTATACACTACTCTAGATACTACACTATACACTACACTACCACAGTATATATGACACTATATACTACTACACTATACACTACACTATACTACTATACACTACACTATGCACTACACTATGCACTACACTATACACTACACTAGATACTACACTATACACTACACAACACTACACTATTACACTACACTACTACAGTATATACTACACTATATACTACTACACTATACACTACACAACACAACTACACTATACTACTATACACTACTACACTATACACTACAGTATACACTACACTACTATACACTACACTACTACACTATATACTACACTACAATACACCACACTATACACTACTACACTATACACTACACTACTACAATATACGCTACACTACACTACGTTATGCACATAGACTACACTATACACTACTATACACTACACTATACACTACACTACACACTAGTGCTGTACTAGTAACGAATTGGTCACGTTGTTTACGTGACAACCCTCACTAGTTGGCCGTGTCGGGTGGTGGCGGGTTTTCACGACACAACATTTATATATTTACACGATCTAACTCAACAAAAAAACCCTCTAATTATGATTTAACAAACTTGTTGATGCAGGCTCTATTAGCGAGTAGCAACAGCAGCAGCTATAAAGACACACACCACACCCGGCCGCCTTTGTCTCCCCGGTGACGGATGTTTTAACTACACATTTGAGTCCGAGTCTACCTAGAGGGGAAGCCCAGAACCTGGGGCAATCGAACCAAGCCAAACTTCGCTAAACAATCAACACGAAACGCACGAATCGCGTACACACAACGATGAATTCCCGCGTGTAAGCAAATCACCAAGAGGCATGTCACACGAGGGCTGTTTGGTTGGTTTGTTGGGTGCTAAACTCCACGCACCCGGCCGCCTTTGTCTCTCCAGAAGCAGGAGAACTACGTGTTGGGTTAACAGCAAGCACGGGGAGAGAGCCGATCACGCAAAAGACGACAACGTTGACTGACTTCAATGTAACGATGTGGTGGGATGGGTGGGTGAGTGGTGGTTTTGTTGAATTTCAAAATAAAAAAACACGATGTTTTGAAACGCTGTCGGGGGAAACACTGACGTATAAGAGCGGCACGTCGAAAATCGCGGTTCAAATCAGTCGAGGAGAGTGAGAAAGCGAGAGAGATGGGGGGGAACTACAAACCTCATCACCCACGTCGCCTCTTCACCGCGCGCAGTGATCTCTCTCTGCTGCTGCGCGCCGTGTGACGTCATCCCTCATCCGGGTCAGCTGACGGCGGCCATCTTAGGTGAGGGTTGAGATCATATTCTTAGGTTATTTCCGGTAAAGTCACGTAGGTAAAACATCAAAATTAATGAAAATAAAATAAAATAAAAAAATCACGACGTTTCGGAGGCGTTTTCATTAATTTTGATGTTTTACCTACGTGACTTTACCGAAAAATGAAAATAAAATAAAACAAAAAATCACGACGTTTCGGAGGCATTTTCATTAATTTTGATGTTTTACCTACGTGACTTTACCGAAAAATGAAAATAAAATAAAACAAAAAATCACGACGTTTCGGAGGCATTTTCATTAATTTTGATGTTTTACCTACGTGACTTTACCGAAAAATGAAAATAAAATAAAACAAAAAATCACGACGTTTCGGAGGCATTTTCATTAATTTTGATGTTTTACCTACGTGACTTTACCGAAAAATGAAAATAAAATAAAACAAAAAATCACGTTTCGGAGGCATTTTCATTAATTTTGATGTTTTACCTACGTGACTTTACCGAAAAATGAAAATAAAATAAAACAAAAAATCACGTTTCGGAGGCATTTTCATTAATTTTGATGTTTTACCTACGTGACTTTACCGAAAAATGAAAATAAAATAAAACAAAAAATCACGACGTTTCGGAGGCATTTTCATTAATTTTGATGTTTTACCTACGTGACTTTACCGAAAAATGAAAATAAAATAAAACAAAAAATCACGACGTTTCGGAGGCATTTTCATTAATTTTGATGTTTTACCTACGTGACTTTACCGAAAAATGAAAATAAAATAAAACAAAAAATCACGACGTTTCGGAGGCATTTTCATTAATTTTGATGTTTTACCTACGTGACTTTACCGAAAAATGAAAATAAAATAAAACAAAAAATCACGACGTTTCGGAGGCATTTTCATTAATTTTGATGTTTTACCTACGTGACTTTACCGAAAAATGAAAATAAAATAAAACAAAAAATCACGTTTCGGAGGCATTTTCATTAATTTTGATGTTTTACCTACGTGACTTTACCGAAAAATGAAAATAAAATAAAACAAAAAATCACGTTTCGGAGGCATTTTCATTAATTTTGATGTTTTACCTACGTGACTTTACCGAAAAATGAAAATAAAATAAAACAAAAAATCACGACGTTTCGGAGGCATTTTCATTAATTTTGATGTTTTACCTACGTGACTTTACCGAAAAATGAAAATAAAATAAAACAAAAAATCACGACGTTTCGGAGGCATTTTCATTAATTTTGATGTTTTACCTACGTGACTTTACCGAAAAATGAAAATAAAATAAAACAAAAAAGCACGACGTTTCGGAGGCATTTTCATTAATTTTGATGTTTTACCTACGTGACTTTACCGAAAAATGAAAATAAAATAAAACAAAAAATCACGACGTTTCGGAGGCATTTTCATTAATTTTGATGTTTTACCTACGTGACTTTACCGAAAAATGAAAATAAAATAAAACAAAAAATCACGACGTTTCGGAGGCATTTTCATTAATTTTGATGTTTTACCTACGTGACTTTACCGAAAAAACCTAAGAATATGATTCCTTGCAGTCACGAAAGCTTCAAATCTAGAATGAGGGTTGAGACTCGTAATAAGTATAACTCGTAATAAGTATAACCCGTAAAAAAATGTGTTTTTATTCAGGTTATACTTATATCTGGCAACAAAACTGACACCTTTTTTTTACAAGGAGTCATGTTTGCATAGACCACAATACCTGCGGTCATAATGCAAACAAAAAACACAACTCTGATAATGTATGCATTGTCCTTGAAGTTGATTGGTCCACACCCGAGACAGCTTTTCTTAGAGCCTAGTCTCACATGGGTTGGACCAGATGATGCCAAAAGGCGCCGTAATAAGTATAACCCGTAAAAACAAAGTTTTTCACTCTAAATCCTTTATATGCGTGGCGGCTAGAGTCCTCTCGTCCTCTGGCTTGAGATGGCTGCCACCTATGGGTCAGATGATTGTCTGCCAGTATTAAGCAATTGGTAATTAAATATTTAATTTATTTTCCCTAAACAGTGCAAAATTTTGGAAAAAAATTTTCACGAACATTTATTGTCTCGCACAACGAGTCTGTGTGCAAAATGTCAGCTCGATTGGATCACGGGAAGTGGGTTAAAAAACGACCGAAAGATTTGCACGGTCGTAAGCAAGCAAGCGAACTTAATATAAAGGATTTTAAAAAGTCAACAATCTTAATTTTGGAGCTTTCGTGACTGCAGGAATTATTCTTTGGTTCTTTCGGTTAAGTCACGTCTAAAGATAAAATAATAATAAATTAAATAATAGCTTTTTAAAAATTTATTATTTTATCTTTAGACGTGACTTAACCGAAAGAACCAATGAAAAAAGTCAACATCTGATCGATCGCCAGTGGTGCACAAACAACGACAACAACAACAACACGTTCATTAATAACACCGTATGTGTAGCCTTACAAGAGGGAGGGGGGGGTATATAACAGGCAACGTTTCGGACAACGACCCCTCCACTCGTTGAGTGAAGCCGTCGTCCGCCATCTTACGTCGGGGAGGCACTCCACGTTGAGTCAATTGCAGAGTGGGAGAAGGTCAGGTGAGTGGGGTCAACGAGTAGGTCAGCTAAGGTCAAGTGGGTGGGGTCAACGAGTAGGTCAGCTAAGGTCAAGTGGGTGGGGTCAACGAGTAGGTCAGCTAAGGTCAGGTGAGTGGGGTCAGCGAGTAGGTGAGGTCAGCTAAGGTCAGGTGAGTGGGGTCAGCGAGTAGGTGAGGAGGTCGGCTAAGGTCAGGTGAGTGGGGTCAGCGAGTAGGTGAGGAGGTCGGCTAAGGTCAGGTGAGTGGGGTCAGCGAGTAGGTGAGTAGGTCGGCTAAGTTCAGGTGAGTGGGGTTAGCGAGTAGGTGAGGTCGGCTAAGGTGAGTGGGGTTAGCGAGTAGGTGAGGTCGGCTAAGGTGAGTGGGGTTAGCGAGTAGGTCAGCAAGTGACCATACCTTGTCAACCCACACGGTTCACCCCGTATTCTTGTACAGGAGGAAATTGAGTTTTCAGGTCCATACGGCGTGATACAGCCGTTTCAATAGTGGCACATTTTTTATATATATTTGATTGTGTTTTCTCCCTTGTGATGGGACTTTGTAGGATGAACGTTCAGATTTACGACGGCACGGGGTGACCAATAAGGTCTAAATTGGTCTGTGATAAGGTAGGCACTGGTGAGACACTGCCTCACCAATACATACTTCACCTGGAATGGGACATTCTACAAACAAACTGAAGGCACCTCAATGGGTTATCCCTTATCTCCGGTTGTAGCCGATGTTTTCATGGAAAATTTTGAGACAGACGCCATCCAGGCATCCACTCTACGCCCGTGCTTGTGGAAGAGATACGTGGATGACACGTTTGTCATCTGGCCACATGGCCGACCGGCTCTGAACCAATTCCTCAACCACATCAATTCCATACACTTAGCCATCAACTTCTTGGTTCTTTCGGTAAAGTCACGTAGAAGGGAAGTAATAAAATAATAAAAATAAAACATAATAAAACAATTCTCACGACGTTTCGGCCACAACGCAAGCAGCCGTCCTCAGGTGAAAACCAGGTCCGTCGAGGCGACAGAGTCTGAATGAAACAGCACACGAGCTTGGAGCATATATATAAGCTGGGCGCATTGACAAAGGAATTTGCATATCAAAAGGAATTTAGCATATTTATGGGAAATGCAGGAATGTGATTAGTACTGCAGGATTAACAGCATCAAAGGGAGCTGCAGTTGCTGCTGCTGCAGCAGTTGCTGCTGCTGCTGCAGTTGCTGCTGCTGCTGCAGTTGCTGCTGCTGCTGCAGTTGCTGCTGCTGCTGCACTTGCTGCTGCTGCTGCAGTTGCTGCCTTATCCATTTTAATATAACACTATGTATTATTCTACCCACCCTAATGTGTATCATACTGCTATATGTTTACTGTACAATTACGACACCATACATTACTCTGCACACTGCACCATGCCAGTGAGTGGAACGCGGTCTGAAAGTCACCGTAAACGTGAACACAATCAGTTAAGATCCGAAATGGTTTATTACGTCCTTCCAATGATTGCTAAGCCAGAATCCATCTTCTCGGTTGAAATTGTCTCTGTGTTTGTATATGTGGATCGCCTCATGAACGAATCTCTCATGATAGCCAGATGGCTTGCAGAGAACCTCTGTCTTGGAGAAGTCAATGTCATGTGAGCCCACTGAATTGTAACAGTGATCTGCCACGGCTGAGGTGTTTGTCCTACCGTGTTTCAGGTCTGCCTTATGTTCACGGATGCGGTCCGAGACATGTCGTTTGGTTTCTCCAATGTAACTGCTACCACAGAGGAAACTTAGTTTGTAGCAGTTACATTGGAGAAACCAAACGACATGTCTCGGACCGCATCCGTGAACATAAGGCAGACCTGAAACACGGTAGGACAAACACCTCAGCCGTGGCAGATCACTGTTACAATTCAGTGGGCTCACATGACATTGACTTCTCCAAGACAGAGGTTCTCTGCAAGCCATCTCGCTATCATGAGAGATTCGTTCATGAGGCGATCCACATATACAAACACAGAGACAATTTCAACCGAGAAGATGGATTCTGGCTTAGCAATCATTGGAAGGACGTAATAAACCATTTCGGATCTTAACTGATTGTGTTCACGTTTACGGTGACTTTCAGACCGCGTTCCACTCACTGGCATGGTGCAGTGTGCAGAGTAATGTATGGTGTCGTAATTGTACAGTAAACATATAGCAGTATGATACACATTAGGGTGGGTAGAATAATACATAGTGTTATATTAAAATGGATAAGGAAGCAACTGCAGCAGCAGCAGCAAGTGCAGCAGC